AGCGGAGGATAGTCAGAGACTTGCCTATCTCGTGTTAAGCGTTCGAGTTGAACAAAGAAGATGAAATGAGTAGGCAGGTAGGTCTTGAAGGCAGGTAGAGGAATAGAGAACTGGCAGAGTAAACAACTCACTGTGGGAAATCTGGCAGTATTATGCTGCCTAATTAGACAAGGATAAGAAAGTATAATTAAAAGCTAAAGAAAGTATAATTAGCTGGTAGTCTATTGCAGTATCCAGTTTGACAAAAGTGATAGGCTCAAATCCATGACATCTTTCAAAAGAAAAGTTAGCAGGACTTAATCATTAGCTATCATTTGCTTAGCACATAGCCATGTACTGTTCTAAGCATTCCCTTGGATTATTTCATTTGATCCTCACAACAACCCTATGAGTTAAGTGCTATCATTACCCGCATTTTACAGTTGGGGAATTTGAGTCACAGAAAGAATAATCAATCTGTTAAAGCTCACAGAGCTAGTAAGTAGTTCAGATTGGCTTTGAACCCAGGAAGAGTGGTTCCAAAGTCTGCACTCTTAACCACTATGCTATGCTACCTCCACTTAGAGAAGAAGGCAAGGGACGACTCAGAGATCAATTTATAGTCATTGTTCTGAGACAAAAAGTCACGTTATCCTGCAGAGATAAAATAACATATATGAAAAAACCTGGGGCTTCCCTGGTGGCGCAGTGGTTGGGAGTCCGCCTGCTGATGCAGGGTACACGGGTTCGTGCCCCGGTCCGGGAGGATCCCACATGTCGCAGAGCGGCTGGGCCTGTGAGCCATGGCCGCTGAGCCTGCACATCCGGAGTCTGTGCTCCACAACGGGAGAGGCTACAACAGTGAGAGGCCCGCGTAACGCAAAAAAATACAAATAAATAAATAAATAAATAAACTAAAAAATCTGGTTTAGAGCCTTGCACCCAAACAAATTATTAACAAACATTAAAATGTTGACTTCAAAAAAAAAAATGTTGACTTCATTTCACCTTATTTGGGAAAAAGAATTGGTTTGAAAGGGTGGAAAGTACTGACTTTCTAAAAAATAAAATTATGACTCTACAACAGGTCAGCATACACAGAGCTGGAGTATGGCCCAGGAGAAAGGCACTTCACTTCAAGCTTTCCATGGGTCTAGCGAAATCTGGAAAGGCTCCTCCACAAGCATTGCAAAGATGCTTTTCCCACTGACCATCTGGGTTTTACGTTCACTGTTTCCAAAAATCACTCACCTGGACTAGTTGCTTTTGAGACTTCTCTCTCCAGCTCCTCCCCACACTCTAACTGAGAGATTACATCAGGCTTGGAAATTGGAAGCCCTGTTTGTGGGGAAAGAAAAAGGAGTCTGGTAAAGAGCTCAGTGTTAGATCCTTGGTCGTTAGAAAAGACAGTCAGTATAAGAGAGAGAAAGGTCGGTTCTGGATTTCTCCCTCAACAGCGCTCAGAAGAAGGTAGGAAGATTGATATGGGGTCTATTTGAGTTCAGAATAATTGAATCACTTGTTTTTACCTCTCCCTATTAAAAGAATAAGCACCCATCTCTTAAGAGGTGTTTTTATTAGAACTTTGTCTCAACATCCTTGGTCAGGGAGTAGGGAAGAAGGACGCTACCGCCTAGGCAATTACGATATAAAGCTGTCCACTTCTGACTCCAGAAGGTTTAAACTTATATCCAGAAACAAAAAGAAGAAATTGCCTGCATCAGACCTTACAAAGGGATTAAGAATCTTTGAATCTAAGAACGTCAGAGCTCCTAGGAACTGAGGAAGCAAAGGTACCACACTGGGTAAATTCCCACACTGGGTGGGGGCCGGGGTGATGCTTACCCAGCAAGACCAGATTCCTATGCTTCTCAGGCACATCTCCTTGAGGAGTGTTCAGCTGCCCCCACTGGGTGAGAGCCTCAGCCATATCCCTGATCATCGACTCCTGAAAAACCGAACACATCAAGTGCTCACCAAGGGACATCCTTCCAGAAGCCTCTGGGAAGGACTCAAGCAGACGGCATAAGAGGAGAAAGACAGGAAGGACAGGAAGGTTAGACAAAACGACCTCTACCATCCCTTCCAATACTAAGATTCTCTGGTGTATCTGGAGTCACAGACTCGCTCCTTACCTCCACGCATCAGAATTGCATGTAACCTGCAAGTGGGAAAGAACACCTGCAGGGTAAAATCTGAAGGTACCAAGTTACTAGTTTACGTGGTGAAAAGTTAAATTATAGAACTACAGAAATCCTTACTATTTAGATATGGGAAAGTGGAGAAAATATAATTATGAATTAAGTATTTTCTTTATGGTATGTTTTTAAAATACAAGAGATTCAAGAAATATGAATTATTTTTCTCTCTCGTTTTCCTTTGAGAATAAAATCAGTCCAATATGTTTTCTAAAAATTAAGGTGTTTGCTACACATGTCACAGTATATAGATCTGTAAAACAGTATTTCAAGGGCTTCCTGGGTGGCGCAGTGGTTGAGAGTCCGCCTGCCAATGCAGGGGACACGGGTTCGTGGCCCGGTCCGGGAAGATCCCACATGTCGCGGAGCGGCTGGGCCCGTGAGCCATGGCCACTGAACCTGCGTGTCCAGAGCCTGTGCTCCTCAGCGGGAGAGGCCACAGCAGTGAGAGGCCCGCGTACCGCAAAAACAAACAAACAAACCAGATTTCAAGCCCAAATTATCAGAGTTCCGAAAGTGTTCTTGCCATTCCTCCCCAGTCAGTCTGACCACTCTCTCCCCACCTCCACCATCTCCTCTCTACCCCATCATACACTGCTTCTCCTGCATTCTCTGTGTTCCAGCTGCCGGCTGCCCTTTGGCTGCCTGAAATGTACGTCATACTCCCTCCCTTCTGCCCCTTTACACACACTGCTTTCTGTCCCTGAATGTTCCCCCCTTTCCCCATCCTTTCAGCTATTTTAATCCTACTCACACTTCGGATCTCAGCTCAGGGGTTACCTCCTCAGGGAAGCCTTCCCTGATTCTCTGGGTGGTAGCACCATGTTCCTTCCCTCCTCTTGGGTTATGCACACAGCAAGGGGACTTTGTGATTAACGTCTGTCTGTCCCATTAGAAGCTGACCTCGAAGAGAGCAGAGGCCAGGTTTAATTTTTCCCAGTGAAGCAGCCCTAGTCTTTGGCACAGAGCAGGAACACGGTGAATATTTGTCAAAGAATTAAAAGAAGGTGAAACACTTGAACAAGAATTAATAGAAACAAGAATTAAGTTTAAATGGGGTGTTCTATAAAAGTGTGCCTGGGAACAGAGGTGGGAGGGGAACAGAAGTGTATCAAACATTGAAAACATTACAGGAGTGTTTACTTTACCTTACCTTGACCTAGATGACAGGCACAAAGTTTAGACCGTCTACTAAAATGTAGGGAGAGTGTGCAGGGTGGGTAATGCTCCTTTGAATCTAGAGCTGAATCTGTTTACTGCTGATAAAACAAATGTCTAATAATTTTTCTAACTCTATTAAAAATTTTTTCTATACAACTTCAACGTAATGGAGTCACATTGAAACAGACCAGTCCCTGGGATGCTAGCAAATGAACGAGTCATGGCTTTCTTTGAAACACCGCTTTTGCCCATGCCCCTGAATATATATGTATATACATATATACATGTTATATGTATACACACACACGTATATATGTGTACATATCCTCCAAAACCAACTGGTAAAATAATTCACATAATGACACAAAGTTAAGAGAACTTACTTTGAAAATCCCTTGCTCAAAATAATTTAAATCTTCTTCTAACACTTGAACTATGAAATAACTTCCCTTTTTATTTAAGTTACGGTCCCTTAAGGCCACATGCCTCAGGAGTGCTCAACACAAGCCATGTAATTTGTACAGTCTCTTTTCTTTACAAACAACGCAGCAGTAACAGACCACCTAGCAGTTCCTTTCAGACTTTAGTTCTGAGAAAACCTCAGCAATCAAACTCATTTAAGGAGCTGCTGCTCAGCGTGAGTATGTGGGGGGCTTGAGGGCACAGGTAGACCACATCTACTGCCCAGCAGATGCTACTGACTCTCTCTCCTCTTCCCTCTGAAAGAGATCTACCAGTTCAGATCAGAATCAGTACTGGTGTTTCTTCCTAGCGTTCTGCATGCACTGTTAGCACCTGGATGCTGTGAGGCAGGTCTGAGCTTGACAGGCAGTCCCGATGCCTTTACCACGGGGTCTGCCATTCTCCCAGTATCCTAGACCAGATCCTACAGAAGTATCTTGACTAATCTTCTCTCTCCAATCATTCACGGCATGTTTCGTCTTGCTGGGCCTCTAAAAACTTTCACGGGGCCTCCTCTGCCTTTGGAATAAGATCCTGTGTGGATTTTTCCTGTGGTCTGGCTACAACACGCCTACACTTCCCTCATCACACTCCAGCTCAGTCCACAGTGACGCACATTCTCCCTGAAGACCTCGGACTCTCTCATCACTTGGAGACTTTTCTCAAAGCTGTTCTCTCTCTTGGAATATTCCTATATTCTATTTTCCAACTACCTACTCTCTCTTGTCTTCCAAAATGCAGCTTTTATCCCAGCATTTTACCCCCAAATACTCTAGGGGATGGAAAACCTCTTCTAAGGCCTTTTATGACTTGTCTGTACTAGTAATTTCTCTATTAAAAAAATATATATATATATATTTCTTCTTGCTGTTTAACTATTTTACTTATCTGTATCTTATTTCCTCAGTAAACTTCACAAGGCAGAGGCAACTGGCTTTTATTCCTTTGCATCTCGCCAGGAAGCCAATTACAGCACTGAAGAGCTTGTAAGTGTGCATCTAGCACTAAGTGGATAGAGAAGTGATGCCAGGAGGGAAAGTTCTGTCCATGTGAGGAGCATTTACTATCAGGTTCACTGCTCATTATTTTATTAGGATGAAGCCAGTGGTCTAGGAACCACGGCTGAGCAAGTCCATAACAATGCTAGAAACCATATTCATGTTCTGAGAACAGAAAAAAGAAGAAGAAATTTAAACCCACCTGGTATGCAGGGGTCAGCAGCACAGAGGTCAGGCCATTTTCTTTTGGGTTTCCAGCATGGGGAAGGTCTGAATTCTCAGAAAGTGACCCTAGAAGTGGAAATGGGAGCCCCAGTGATTACTCTTGCTTGCAGTACACTCACAGAAACTGCCACACACAACTACTTGTCACCTGAGAAGAGTCAACACAGGGAACCAAGGGACAATCCCACAACATCTCTTATACAAGACAGCCATGACCATGGCTGCCTCAGGTTCCTCCTATGCTCCTCTACCCTTAAACTCCAGTAGAACTCTGCTACGAGATCCTGGACACTTAAATACATATTTCCATTTCTCATCTGCTGAGTATCGTCAAAATAATCTCAAATAATCTCGGTGTGTCAATCCGTGCCTCAATGAGTCACTCCTGTTCTATTCCAGGCTCACAGGATGAAAGACTAGTTAAATTCTTTTTGAACATTGTCTTTTCAGATACAAAACTGGCTTTCTCAGAAGAGCAATGGGCCTGTGGGGAAAAAAATCCAAGCACTCTAAATAAATCCTGTGACTTCTCGAATCCTCACTTTCCCCATCTGCCAAATGGGTCTATTTGATAGTCTCCTTCCTCCATAACCGCCTTACGAGGTTCCTGTGAGAACAAAAGAAAGTCATTATCAAAAGCCAAATTGTCAGATATGGTGATTTGGGGGGGGGTGGCAAAAGAGGTATACATCATCCTAAAGACCAGCAGGGCAATGTAGGTAGCGGGCTCCCCTTAAACCCCAACATGAGACCAGCTGGTAGGAATGGTCTCTCTCCCAGAGAAGATGTGATGCTTGTCCTTCCAGAGCTTGCCCCAGCCAGAGGGCAGCCTTTCTCCTTTTTTCTCTCCAGCAGGCGGCATCCTTCTGAAATTCTCACCTCTGTCCTTAGGCTCCATGGCGACTTCCTCCCCTCCGGCGCCAAGTGACGACCGTGGGAAAATGGCGCGACGAACGCACTAGGGGCCGGGGGTCCACAGCTCTAGTCCACCCCGAGGCCCGGGAACACGCGCACGACCCTACAGCTGGGCAGCCCGGTGTCCTCCACCCGGAGGCCCTCCACCGCTCTCCTTCCGGCCACTCAGACTCCGAAGGACACGCGCTCAGCCCTGTTGGAGCCCAAGCTCGACCTCGCGAACAACGCTGTGGAGGCCCGGCTCGCGACAAAGGTATCTAGGAGCCGGCCGGGCCGAGTCGCGCCAGCCCGAACTCGCTAATGAACTACAACTCCCAGAATCCTCCGCAGGGCGCGGCGGCGCGTCACCGGAGGACGCTTCCCAGAGGACCCCGCGGGACCACCTTTGCCCCCGGCCGTGCATCTCTGCGATGGCGCGTGGCCGTGCCGGGTGTTTAGGAGCGCTCGGCCTCTCGGAGAGCTCTTTCCTGGACGCTCCAGGGGCCGCCCCTTCCTCAGTGTGTACTCTGGGCTCCAGCCCCGGAGGACGTGTTCGGCCGCGCCAAACCCCGCCGCGAGAGGGAAATTCACTCCCAGCCAACTGTAACTGGCAGAGGGCGGCGCCCCGCTACCCACCCAGGATTCCTCCCTGGCTGCTCTGCTCCCTCGGAGGGAAGGCGCCCGCGTTCCAAGGATGTTCACCCCACCACGTCGCTTCCCCTGTACTGCGCCTCCACGACCCACTGTCGGGGGGCAGAGATTACCTCAAGTAACCAGGGATGTTTATTCCATGCAGCACCTCGAAATACTGAAAAGCAGAATCTCGGTCCCGGAAAGCACCTCAGTCCGGTCCCCAAGAAGCTATTAGTTAATAGTTGATACCGCTGACCTTAAGGTGCCTGGAACATGAAAGTCTTTCAAACTCCCAAGGAGCTCTAGGAAACGTCAGCTGGGAGTGGGGTTATCTTCAGGCTGGTGCATGTTCTCACCTTCCTTCCCACAATAAAGTGGCCAATTTTCTATCCAGCTCAAGTTCCCAAGAAAGAAAATCAAAGTACCTAACTGTCCCTGCTTGGGTATAAACCACAACGTCTGTTTGTCCTTTCTCTAATAGAATCCCCAACTTGTAGCTAGGCTTAAGGCTGCCTGGAGTAAAAATGACATTCCTCATCATCCCTGCCTCTTGCGGGGGGGATGAGAGCAAAGTGATTCTTTTTTTTTTTTTTTTTTTTTGCAGTACGCGGGCGTCTCAGTGTTGTGGCCTCTCCTGTTGCGGAGCACAGGCTCCAGACGCACAGGCTCAGCAGCCATGGCTCACGGGCCCAGCCGCTCGGCGGCATGTGGTATCTTCCCGGACCGGGGCACGAACCCGTGTTCCCTGCATTGGCAGGTGGACTCTCAACCACTGCGCCACCAGGGAAGCCCCCTCACTGTTTTATATTTACAGTTTTGGAGTGTCCATTGCCAGCACCCATTCATGCTTTGCCATTCTAATAGAGCTTCCTCCTCCCTCCAGAATCATAATAAATGGATTCTAATATCCTGCTCAGAAAGAGATAAAATACATGATCACATGAAGTATCTTTTAACTTTCCCTAACTAGCAACCTTGGATACTTCCTCCTCCATATCCTCATTGGGTTGTTAGAGGTTCATCAAGTAACATCTTTTCCCCACTTGAGTTCTGATCGAACTCAGAACAAAGGAGGCAGGCACATAGAGATCAGAACAGCTGTTTTGAGAGCTGTTGAAAAATGTGTCTGAGGGACAGTGACAACAGGTTTCCCCAGCCTGGACCCCACCCAGATATGTGTCCTACTGGAAGCGGAAGACTGCTTTCTGCAGGTACACAGTGCTTGCCACGTGGCCAGGAGCAGGCATCCCTCTAACGTCTCCAATGATCAAAGTAATCCCTTACCTTTTACCTCTAACAGCCCCTGATGATTTTGCAAAACTGTGCTATACAATACAATAGCAGTTGCCCAGAGTGGCTACTGAGCACCTGAAATGGGGCTAGTCCGAATTTGAGATGTGCTGTAAGAATAAAGTACTTGAAGACTTAGTTTTTAAAAAATGTAGTATCTATCTCAATGCTTTTTATATTGACTCTATTTTGAAGTTTTTAAAATATTTGAATGAAATTCAAATATTGATTGAAATGAAATATTAAAATTAGCTTTTGCTGTTTCATTTTAATATTTAAAATATGGCATTATATTCCTGTTGGGCAGCACTGATCTAAAATGCCTGGACTCGGGTATAGGGCTTAGAGTCTCTTCAAGTTGATTTCATATTTAATGGTCCTGGAGGGGAAAGGTACTGCAGTTTTCCAGGGCCAGATTTGGGTTCTTGTCTCTCACATTGGTGCCATATGATCTTCACACTTCTACTATCAATATAAGCTGATACATACATTTCCTCTGTACATTCAGGCTCTTGTTAATGCATAGTCAAGGAAGACTCTCACCAGGATCCCCATCACCTCAACATGGGTACTTCAACTCCTTTCTGCCTTTTTACCGCAGAAGTCCCACCTCGATAAGACAGACCACTTAGGAACTTGACATCCACAGCCAGCTTTCTCTTGGACTTACTAAGGAATCATGATTCTGGCTTTATCAGTATGTTATCTAGGGACTTCCCCGGTGGTCCAGTGGCTAAGATTTTGCGCTCCCAATGCAGGGGGCCCGGGTTCAATCTCTGGTCGGGACACTAGATCCCACACGCATGCCGCAACTGAGAGTTCGCATGTCGCAACAAAGATCCCGTGTGCCGCAACGAAGACCCGGTGCAGCCAAAATTTAAAAAAAAAAAAAAAGTTATCTACTGACCGGCACCCAGTAGCCTTGCTCCCCAGCTCCTCCTCACCTCTGTCTTATTTATGTGAGACTTGAGGGTTAATTTATTCTTAGAAGCACAGGCCTGGGGGTGAGATGAATTTCTGGGATTAGTAGTCCCACCAATTCTCTGTCCCAGGCTTCAGTGCACCGGTTTTCTCTATTTACCATATTGTCTTCATCTCAAAGTTCCCTAGCATTGCTTATCCTTTTCTTTAAAGTGTTGATTCATGGTGTGCTTCTATTAATTTGTGTGGTAAGTGTTTAATTCTCTTAAACTTAGATAGGGCTTATTTAAGCATCAGAGAGATTATTTCATTTTTTTGAAACCCCTTTTAAAGTATTTTGCCTTGTATCTTAAAGAATGTTGGCATAGGGACTTCCCTGGTGGTCCAGTGGGTAAGACTCTGTGCTCCCAATGCAGGGGCCCAGGTTCGATCCTTGGTCAGGGAACGAGATCCCAAGTGCTGCGGCCAAAAAACAAAAAAAAAGATAGATAAAAAAAAGAATGCTGGCATACTTCCAGTTTGTCCAATTTCTGATTCGAAGATTTCACCCTACTAATGGCCATTCAGTGAAGCTAAAACCTCAAAATTTAAGAGCTCCACTACTCCATACCTTATTGAGAGGTAAAATGGCCCTTTCCTCAGAATTTTTAGGAGATGGAACAGTACTCCATCTTTTAAAAATGCTCTGCAGATCACCAAATTTTAGAAAGGAACAAAGGGAGAACTGCTGACTTTATGTCCCCACTCTGTTTCGATTACCACTTTACTCAAAAGTCCATTCTAGTCTCATCTTGCTGACAATGGCAGAGTATCTTAGGGGAATACCTGACATTCAATTTACTTTTAACAAGGCAATAAATTAAAGATTCAGAACTCTCAGAGACAGTCATCAGCCAAAAGTCTGTCAGTAGTTTCTTTTATTTTGTACTTGACATTATTAAATAATGATATTATCCACTTCAGTAGATTCTGCACTCTGTTTTTCCTCAAGTTACTTTGAGAGTCCACATGTGAAAAGTCTTCCTGCCGCTTATCTGCTTTAAGAAAGGTGGATCAATAGGGTTGTGGGTAGATTAGGGAAGGGTCTGTTTGGAATTCCAGCTTCTTGAATCAGACTTTTACTCCCAGGGAGAAATGCATGTTGGTCCACTGGGATTCATGCAGGGCGAGGTAAGTTCCAGACAGCCTTTCAGAATCAAGTCCTCTTCTGGGCTTCACCTTAAGCAAATAGAAAGGGAATGCAGAGCCTAGAGTCAAAGCTGCCTGGTGCCTGACTGTCAATAAAATAAAAATATAGGACTGGGTCCAGGGAATAGCAGGGTTTTGGGAGTCGAGATTTCAAGTTTAGCAATGTGGGATCACCTCATGGCAGACCTTAAATATTCAGAGACGTTTTCATTAAACAGGGAGCTATTTTAGGTCTTGAGTAAGGCAATGATGGGCAGGAAGGGATCATTTGGAAAGACCGGCCTAACAGTAATATGAAAAATGTAACTTGTGACAGAGGCTGTTTATATTAACCAAATGTTGAGGTGCCTGTTGACTTTCCTAGTATCTTGGTGCTGGGATCTGGTTTATGAGATATAAACAGAAGGGATGGCCCTGAAAAATATCCCAGCATACCCCCCAGCTTTCTCTTCCATGATGACCTTGGAGGCAACATGTTCTAAATGATGAGGATGAAGGAAGACAGACTCATATCTGAGTTTATGTGAGAAATGAATCTTTATTTGGGGTTCACTTATTGCCCCATAGCTCAACATCTCTCTCCTCAATAATGAAGAGGAAAGAATTCGAATCAAGGAGTGTCTACTGCAGTAATGGGAGCCTGAGATGACAAAGGTACAGGCTAGACTGTGAAATTCAGAGAAAGGATGTGAATCTAAGAGGTGTTTTAAATAGAACTTGGTAAGTCAAAGAGTCATTAATTCAGATAACTATTTATTGAGCACCTATTATTTGCAAGGCACTGTGTGAGATACAAAGACATATAAGTCACAACTCCGAGTGCTTACAACCTGGTTGAGGAAATAATACATGTACATAAATTATAAAACAAACCTTATAGCATTATGGTAAAGAGAACAGACTTTGAAGGGAGACCTGTATTCAAGACCTGGCTTCACCTTTTACTAGCTGTCATATTGGGCAAGTTATTTAACTCCTCTAAACTTCAGTTTGCTCATCTGTAATATGTGGGTAGTAACAGTACCTACTTCAGAGGGTTAGTGAGAGGAGCAAATAATCTACTCCTTGCAAAACTCTCAGCTGAGTGCTTGCCCCATAATAAGCACTCAATAAGTGCTAGCTACTAGTAGTAGTATTAAGAGATCTAGAAGCTGGGACACAACAGAACAAGGTCAGTGCCCAAAAAGTCTCCAAGAGAGAGGGACTAACGGCTATAAAGAACTGTTCTGGAAACAACAGTATTGCTCTGACATTAGTGTGCCTTCCCCTCCTGCTGTGGCCTCCAGTTATTTAAAGTGTAGTGATACCTGGGGCCTAGGACGAGAGGTGTGTCTGAGGATGGCCTCCTAACGTTTGTCCCTATCGTCTGACGAACCTCTGCAAAATGTTGACTCTAAAGAGTCACATCCTAATTTCTGGCATCCCACATCAGCTCTATAACACAGTGGGTAGAGAATGTTCCTTCAAACACTGTGGTAACAGAGGCAGGTAAGGAGAGTAGTAGCCAGAATAGGTGCAATGACTGGGAGATGGATTTAAGTTGGGGAAGACCTATCTTGAGTTTGCATGGAGGTCCTTTAACTAAAGCTTTTGCTCAACTCAGTCTATTCCCTGTTTGGCATAACGCCTTTGATGTTGAATAACTGATGATTTGGAACTGAAAACCTTCCCACACACGCTGCATTCAAAGGGCTTCTCTCCTGTATGAACCCTCTGGTGTCGCGTAAGCCGGCACCTCTGGCTAAAGGCTTTTCCACATTCGCTGCATTCATATGGCTTGTCTCCGGTGTGAATCTTCTGATGTTGAGTAAGGGAGGAGCGGTCAAAGAAAGCTTTCCCGCACTCGCTGCACTGATAGCGAGGCTCTCCAGCGTGGGCTTTCTGATGTCTATTCAGTGATGAGACACCATAGAAGGCTTTCCCACACTCGTTACATTCATACGGCTTCCTGCCCGTATGGATTAGCTGATGTCGAGTAAGAATACTTTTCTGGCTAAAGGCTTTCCCACACTGATTACATTCATAAGGACTTTCTCCAGTATGAATTCTCTGGTGTCGAGTAAGGGACGAGCGGTCAAAGAAGGCTTTTCCACACTCATTGCATTTAAAGGGCTTCTCTCCAGTATGAATTCGCTGATGTACAGTTAGGGATGAACGGTCGAAAAAGGCTTTCCCACAGGCATTGCACTCGTAGGGGCTCTCCCCAGTGTGCGACATCAGATGTCTACTGAGACTGCTCCTGTGACTGAAGGCTTTCCCGCACTCAGGACAGTCATAGGGCTTCTCTCCAGTGTGAGTCCTCTGATGGCGAATAAGGGAGGAGTGGTCAAAAAAGGTCTTCCCACAGTCACTGCATTCCTGGTCTCTCTCTTTAGTGAGAATTTTCTTGGGAGGGGTTGCCCCATGCTGCAACCTTTCCTCCTGAGAAAGGGATTTCTTGCAGGCCTCCAGTGCAGGGCTTTCCTTCTCTGTTCCCAAACCACCATCCACTACATGAACTTCAAATTTAGGAGGTGAAGGACCTTTCATTCCAAGCTTTCCCCTCAATGTTCTTTCTGATTTTTCTTCTTCTGAAGCACCTTGAATCTCAGGCTTAGTCTCCCAGTCTGGAATGGACAGAAAACACAGATGCATGTTTCTTTCTTGGGCTAGGAAATGTTACAGCAGAGAGGAGAGATGCTATGATAAATCTGAAAAGTCATGTACAGTCACCGCATTGCTTGCTCCCAGAAAGTGTTACACTCTAGGGAGAAACCAAGACTTGGGACTGAAACGGGGAATAGAACTGATAGTGGAAATCTCAGAAAAGAGGAGAATTTCCATTGGGAGCATGGCTAGGTTAATTAGGAGAGCTGGCTAAGTGGAGGGGATGGTGAGGAATAGGAATATCAAAGTGTGAATGGGTAATGTGACAGGTCTGAGAAAGTAAACATTTGGTGAATAATAGTGCACAGAACTTTAAGGTGTAGAGAAAAAGAAAAAAAAAAAGCACTGGTGGGGGACAGAGAATAAATAATAAAGGACAAGATTTGAATTTGAGAAAAAGGTGATACCCAATACCCCCTCCCACATACACCTAAATAACAACCACAAAACAAAACAAAACAAAACTCTGCCCTGCCCAGTTCGTACTCAATTACCTTGTGAGACATTCTCTGCACATTCTTTCCCCTCAGATCCATGAAGCTCCACTATCCAAGGCTCATCCCCTCTCTTCAACTGAAAAATCACATCAGGTCCAGGAACTGGAAGTCCTGCTCATGGAGAAAGAAACAAGCCAGGTGGTCATGTGTGATTAAATACACAATGATTCCAAAGCTAATCCCAACCTCTACGTCTTTCAAAGAGCAAATGCAAAAGGCAGAAAGTGCACACCAGGAATACAGACTATGAAGTCATATAAGGAATTCAGGAAACTCTGAATGGAGGTCAAGACTGAGGTTCTAAAAAGGAACAAATAGCATTTGGTCAGAGAGTTGATAGACTCCACTTGAATTAATGTGTTTATTCTTCCCCACGAAGTGAATGGGATGATCCTAGCTTTAGCACTGGTAGGATGGGGAGAAAAGTCCTTAACTCAGAGAAGATGAGAATGAAGAAAGGTCACAGTGAATAAGAATGTGTGATGTGGGGGCTTCTCTGGTGGCGCAGTGGTTAAGAATCTGCCTGCCAATGCAGAAGACACAGGTTCGAGCCTTGGTCTGGGAAGATCCCACATGCCGCGGAGCAACTAAGCCCATGCGCCACAACTACTGAGCCTGCGCTCTAGAGCCTTCGAGCCACAGCTGCTGAAGCCCGCACACCTAGAGCCCATGCTCCGCAACAAAGAGAAGCCACCGCAATGAGAAGCCCGCGCACCACAACAAAGAGTAGCCCCCGCTCGCTGCAACTAGAGAAAGCCCATGTGCAGCAATGAAGACCCCACGCAGCCAAAAATAAATACATTTATTTTTTAAAAAAAGAATATGTAATGTGTATTATATAGGTGCCCATTTTTGTTTGTTTATTTACCCTTTACTATTGTGATTTTATTTAAACAAGTGGATCATGTTCATTGTAGGAAATCTAGAGGCATGTACAAGTAATAAGAAAAATCACCTTTCGTACTTTGTATTCATTTCTTTCTTTCTATTCACTTTGACACTGAAAGATACCTATAGATACATTTTGTTAAAAACTGGATAATGACAATTATATCTCAATTTTTGAGAACAATAAAAAACTACTGGAGAGCGATTTTGGAAAATAACTAAGACTACCCCAACTAAAATCATTCCTATTTGATTTATTTTGACATCTACAAGTAGATAATTTCTAAATCCATAACGATTCACTATATATAATATATGTCACTCCAGGCACTTTTACATTGAAAACATCATTTTGGGCAGAAGACTCTCAATTAAAAAAACAAACAAACAAGGAAAAACCCCCAATAACTGGATAATGAAATAATGTTAAATTTTAAACTTGATTTTTTTCACATAATAAAAAATTTAAAATATTACTTTAATTAGCACAGCTCTACCTCACCATTTTTTTTTTTTTTTTGGTACGCGGGCCTCTCACTGTTGTGGCCTCTCCCATTGTGGAGCACAGGCTCCGGACACGCAGGCCCAGCGGCCATGGCTCACAGGCCCAGCCGCTCCACGGCAGGTGGGATCTTCCCGGACTAGGGCACGAACCCGTGTCCCCTGCATCGGCAGGCAGACTCTCAACCACTGCGCCACCAGGGAAGCCCCTCTACCTCACCATTTTAATGGCTACATGGTATTACATTGTATGGAATAACATCATTTATTTAATTAATCTCTTGCTGACAGACATTCCAGACTGTTTTCAGTGTTTTGCTAAAACAAACAATGGTATGATGAATATCTGTGTACACCACAGGCTGCTAATCTTATTATTTCCTTAGGACAAATTTCTAGAAGTGAATCTGTCCATCTTTGGTTACATTTAAAAAACAAATCCCCTCCTAGAAATAGTCTTGAGGTCTAAACTTCCCCTGCATTGGGACCCCTGACTTGGGCAAGAGAGGTACTTTCTTCTTGGGCCCAAGGATCATCGATCTGGTTGTATGCTGACTCTCTGCTGAGAACGGCCACATCCATCACCTGCCCATGGCTTCCTGTCTCTGTCCTTAGATTTCTATTTTTCCTACCAAAGTGACAAAGGCTCAGCAGTCTCCCTTAATGCTCCCTAAACATTCTCTTCTGTTTCCAGATTTGTCCTGTTTAAGCTACTCCAGGGTGTTGTGCTTGCTTTTTTGACCTGCCTTGAATGAAATCTGCGATGTGACTCCTTTTACTGCCTCCTGCTGCTGTTTTTAAGTCTATTCTAAATCTGTACACACTCAGCCTCTTATCCTGGAAGCTCCTGAGAGGTTCTCCTTACAGGAGCCCAACTTTACTCTCACGAATACCTCACATCAGCAGTAGCTCTTAATTTTCCTTTTGTCACACAAGTCTCTATCATTGCAAAGTGCCTTCTGCAGGCATCTCTCTAAGATGTCCTTAAGACAAATATACAAAATCAAACACATTTCTAGTGACCTACTCTGAGCTACAACCTTCTAATCTCACCCCTACATGCCCTCTTTTATTTTTTGGCATGCGCGTGTGGCATGCAAGATCTTAGGTCCTGACCAGGGATCAAACCCACACCTCCTGCAGTGGAAGCACAGAGTCTTAACCACTGGACTGCTAGGGAAGTCCCCCTCTTTTTTTTTTAATTGAAGGATAGCTGATTTACAATGTTGTGTTAATTTCTGCTGTACAGCCAAGTGACTCAGCTATACATACATATATATATATATATATATATACACACACATATATATTCTTTTTCATCAATAGATTCTTTTCCATTATGGTTTATCGCAGGACATTAAATATTGTTCCCTGTGCTAAACAGTAGGACCCTGTTGTCCATCTGCCCTTTTTTTTTTAAATGGAAACACTTCTTTCCCCCTCCTCTGTTTCTCTGAGGAGAAATTTTCCCTCAAAGAGAATGCCCCTTGCACTCCCCCTTAGTACTCTGGATGGAGCTGAGTAAGTTACTGCTGAGCTGAGGGAAGACCTGGGCGTAGGTAACTCGGCCTCTTCTGCTGGCCCCAACCCTCTGGAGAGCAGTTCCCTGCAGCAGGCTCTCACATGCCCTGCTCCTCCTGGCCCTGGCCCTGGCCCTCCGTGTTGCAGGGCCAGGCTTCTCAGCAAGGGCCCCTTGGTTGTCCAGTCTGCTTACAGCTCAGGGAGCAAGCCTGTCCCAGGCTGGGGTTCAGGATTAAGAAACCCACTCTTGCTGTACACCTAAGCCACATCCCTCTGCTCTTCGATCTTGTCTCTCAGGGGTTCTGACTTGGGTGGGAGGAGAAGAGGTGTCAATTTATTAGCCTCTCGAGCCCACATCAACACAGTACAGAGTCTACTCCTGGTGGGAAACTCTCCTTACCCAACGAGACAATGCTCTTATAGTTCTCCAGCATCACCTCCTTGTAGAGGGCTCTCTGAGTAGGGACCAGACACCTCCACTCTTCATCTGTGAAAACCACCGCCACGTCCTCGAATGTCACTGGGTCCTGGAAACACAATTACGTTCTCCTTATTCATAACCCTTCTCTTTACATGGCCAGAAAAAACTATCATCATGATGACAGCCTGGAGGATGCAGAGGGAGTGGAAAGAAAATGGTTCTGACAAAGTAAGGCTTTGAAGCATTTGGGGAAAGTGCTATACTCCCCCGAGGCATGAAGTTCTTGGTCACAACCCCACACTCCCTTCCTAGCCGAGCCTCTGAATATCAGGGGCTCTTTTTTCAGACTTACAGAAAACGTGCAAGAATATAACAAAGAATTCCCATGTACCCTTTACCCAGCTTCCCCAAATTAACATTTTCCACACTGGCTTTATCTTTCTGTCTCTCTCAGTACACGCACATTCACCTATCTTCTTCCTGAACTTCTTTAGAGTAACTTGCAAACATGATGTCTCTTTACTCATAAATGTTTCAATGTGTATTTTGTAAGAACAAGGATATCCTCTTGTATAATCACAGCATGATTGTAAAAATCAGGATAGCAGTGATATTATATAATTATCTAATCTACAACCTTAGTCAAATTTCACCAATTGTCTGTGTGTGTGTGTGTGTGTGTGTGTTTTAAAAAATCCTTCAAATAATGGTGTAGATTAGATCATCTTTAAGCTCTCTCTCATTTCACTCTGCTGTCCTGTGATTCTGTAAGGTTGCATCTTTACTCCCAATCCTGAAACCCAGATGAGTCTCCACAGTGTCTGCAGAAGCTCTAAGCCAGAGCATGGAATTCAAGACTCTGCCCTTGGGCAGGAAGGGGGTAAACCACATGTCTCTACCCACACAAAACTCTCTTCAGGACTCTTTCAACTTCACTGAGGTGCTTTACAGTATGTGTCACGTTCTCCGCCTAACCCAACAACTCCCTGGGATATGGGGACCTACTTTCAGTCCATACATAGTGGATATACTAAAGGGAAGTCAGAACTAGAAACAGCCTGCTGTTCCCCAAACCTTCCAATCAGACCCGTACCATTGGTTTTTGGGCAAAATTGCTTAGGGTGAAGGCCACAGGGGCTGCGTGCCTGGTGACAGGCTAGTGGGCACATGTTCAAGGCAAGGAAGCATCACTGAAAGATATCACAAATCAAATGGGAAGGACACACTCCCTAAGGAGTCCTTCCTCCACCTGGTTGGGTTTGATCAAAGAAGCTCCAAGATAGAGAAAGAAACGTGGTTACATTCTGGAGCCTGATAGAGTATTTCAGAAACACAAAAGTCCAACTCACCTGGAATCTGGTAGTCGGAGACACAGTAGCCATTCCCTCCCGAGTGCTCTCTTTGCAGAGAAGAGCCGAGTCCTGATGAGGCAGAGGTGTGGGATGAGAAAGAGGGTAGAAGAGCAGTCTTGTTTTGTAGTTTTGTGACCCATGAAGCAAGAAATCTCCACACACCAGTGAGTTATGTACTCACCTTCATTCTCAATACCCTACAAAAAGGGAAGGCAAAGTAAAGCAAGGCCAAGAGCAAGCCCACCCCATCCCAGAACTAGAGCGAAAGGCCATGGATATTGCTATGCAGAACACAATGTGGTGCTTGTTTTACCATAATCTTAGAGGCAAAGTTCTGTTCCTGGCAGTCAAGAACATCTTAAGGCTCATACCGTCTTTACAAATTCACATTCAACATTGCTCAGAATGATTACTGGACAAAAAGCATAAGAGATTTTATGAATGGCTATATGGACAAGTTCTGTCACGGAAATACCCATAGCCTCTTCAAAGGAAAAATGCCCCATTCACAGCAATACCCGATGCTAAAGGAGCAGCCCTTGGGCAGCCACAGTTTGTCCCGCGTGACCCTGCCTCTCACTCCTGGAGCCACACTGATTAGGCCACAGGTGGGCAATGCACAGGCTGACCAGTGGACGGACGGACGGTCTGGCTTGAAAAGATGACATCCATCCTCAGGATCGTGAACTAAGAAATGCTGGGACAACGAGGGGGTGATGAGCTGAAAGGATACCATGAGGGACAGAAGTAGCCACGAGGGTCAAGGAGCCAAAGGTACCAGGAAGCAGAACCCATGAGCATGTGGGAGGCACGAGGTAGAGAATAGGCTGTAGCAGACTAAACACAGGCGGGCACATTGGTGGTGAAGCACTGAAGCAAAGACCCAAGAATTCCTGGCCTTGAAGGCCCTAATTCACCTAGCACCACCCCAGGCAGCAATTTGCATGCAGACCAGCCTTATTTATTCTCAGATTTCCATAAGACTGTAACCCTCTCAGGCTTTGTGTGACTCTTTATGACCAAACTTTACTTGCATTAACTGAGTCCATCTCAGTTTCTCACAATCAAGAGTCTAACTGAGACATAGTCAAATCAAGCATTTTGGGGATTCACGAGTGGGGTGTGGGGAGAGTGTGGTCCTGAGAAGGAGAAGGAAAGGGTGGGTATGTGGCTCAATGACTACTGTCCTGCAGCCAAGGGAATGTATTCATTGATCCTTGTTATTCCTTCATCCATCTATCCAACCAACATTTATTCAGCACCAACTATTTATGCAAAAGAAGTATGACACTGTCCTTGTCTTTCAAAAGCTTATGGACTACTACGCAGGACAAACAAGTAATCAAGTTAACATTTCACTGCAGGATGAATAGATGCTCTAAAGAGATGTGCCCAGCTAACTACGAGACAGCACATCAGAGGCTCGCCTAACCCAGACGCGAGGCAGGGAGGAACACTGCCGGTTTCTTGGCAGAAGTGGGACCTAAGGTAAGTTTTGATTTGGGGGAGGCATTAGAACATTCTAGGCACACACAAAAAATCAAGTTTTCCAAAAATAAGGAGGCAGGTCTTTACAGGGAAAGGATTAAAAACTGTAATGAGTTTAGAATGGCAATGTTTAGGTTGGGGCAGTGCTGGGGGGGAAGATGGGGTTGAAGAAGTAGGCAGAGACCAGCTAGATCAAGGAGAGCTCTGTGTGGTCCTACTCCCACTGGCACGGGGATCACAGGATTTAAGCATGGAAGGGTCACCACCAGATTTGTGTTTTAGAAAGATCTTTGCAATTTGTATCAAGGGCCTTAAAATACATATCTTTGACCCAGCAATTTTCTCCTCGGAGTTTTTCCTAAGGAAATAAGTAAGAACACATGCAAAGTTTTTTATTAATCGTCACTAACACTAACCTTTACTGAGTGCCATGTGAGGCAACCTCCTAAGCACTCTACATGTGTCATCTCATTTAATCCTTACAATACAGCAAAAATTTGAAATAGCCTAAGTTTCTAACATAGGAGATTTGAGGGCTTCCCTGGTGGCACAGTGGTTAAGAATCCCCCTGCTAATGCAGGGGACACGGGTTCGAGCCCTGGTTCGGGAAGATCCCACATGCCGCAGAGCAACTAAGCCCATGTGCCACAACTACTGAGCCTGTGCTCTAGAGCCCATGAGCCACAACTACTGAAGCCCATGTGCCTAGAGCCCATGCTCCGCAACAAGAGAAGCCACCACAATGAGAAGCCCACGCACCGCAACGAAGAGTAGCCCCCGCTCACTGCAGCTAGAAAAAGCCCGCGCACAGCAATGAAGACCCAATGCAGCCAAAAATAAATAAATAAATAAATTTATTAAAAAGATAAAATAAAAAATAAAATAGGAGATTTGATTAAATAATTTATGGTCCAGACCATACATACAATGGAATACCACTGATATTATCATATTAATATGGTAATGTTATCATATTTTAAATGTTACTTTATATGATAATTAATATCATATTAATAATAACTAGCATTTATTGAACTTATGCTACCGACCAGGCACTGTACTAGTACTCTTTATAAGAATAGTTTAATTCCATCCTTATGAATCAATAAGGTACGACTGTTTCACAGATTAGGAAATTTAGGCTTTGTAAGAGGCTGAGGCAGAATTTGAACCCCAGTCTGGCTAGCAGTTTTTAACCTCTATGCTGTAATGATTTATTTTCATGAAAAGATAGCCACACAGATAACAGACCAATAGACTAGAAAATACCAAAACATATCAAAGCAGGTAGGAAAGCTTGACACATGACAGAAGTGGCATCACAAATCACTGGGGGAACGATCACTAGTAATAAACTGCAAACAACTTACATGTTCATCAATAGGATAAACTGTGATTTTATATGTGTATGTGTGTGTGAATATTATACCTTGATTAAGATGAATGAACTAGAACCTCATGTTAGTAATACAAATTCCAGAAATATAATTACTGAGCAAAAATAAAGTTATAGAATGACTTACTATGTAATAGTTATATAAAATTTAAGAACAGGTAAATGGTATCTACAAAAATCTATATGGGACAATAAGCAACAGATTGTGAGTATCTCTGGGAAAGAAGGGAAATAGGATTGGGGAGGGATACCTAGGAGACTTCAACTTTGTAATGTTTTGTTAAAAAAATCTAAAGGGAAAACAAAAACAAAGAAATTCACACAACATTAAGTGAAGAATGCACACTTTTAAAATTACATAATTGAGCATGCACACACGTACAGAAAAAAGACTGGAAGAATATATATTAAAATGTAAATGGAATTTGAGTGGTGGCATTACAAGTGATTTTTATTTCTTACAATTCCTTATATTCTGATTTTTTTTTTTTACAAGAGTTATGTGTTTACTTTGGTGTACAGGAAAAATAACAGGAAGGAAGGAAAGGAGGTGTGCAGAAAGTTATAGCAGACCTGAGACTGCCATTCTTGGGAACGTCTACTTGCAATGTTGGCCCTTGGCTGGGGTCTGGGTACTTCAATTTTAAGAGGGTTTCCTAAGAGGTAGGGTGGGCCATTATGCCTAAACTATTTGTGCAAACAATATGGTTTCTGCTGAACACCTGCTGTCTTGCTAGAGGGCCTGGAATTTTGGTATATGTTAGGCAGGAGGTGCCTACGTGGCTAGCCCTCACTAAAAAGCTTGGGCTCTGAGTCTAAAGAACTTATTTGGGCTGACACATCACACACATGTTGCCGCATTTTCATTGTCGGAGGAGGAAGTGCTCTGTGTGACCCCTCATGGGGAGGGAGAGAGCATGAGGAAGACTTCCCATGGGTTCCCCCAGACTCTGCCTATCTGTCCCCCTTATGATCTGGCTGTGTATCCTTGCGAGATCACTGTCCTCATCTTAGCCATGAGTATAACTATGGGCTGAGTCCTGAGTCCTGCTAACAAATCCCTGAATGAGGGGTGATCTTGGGCACCCCCGACACAGGCGGCCATACCACTCTGGGTAGCTGTGGCAGAATGGGAGCAGAGGAGGTGAGGAGACCGGTGAGGAGACTATTACAATTAACTAAGCAAGAAATGATGAAGAACTGGACAGCAGATGTAGAGAGAAGGGGAATTACTGTTGAGATATTAAGAATAGACCATAGATTAGAAGTGGAGGCTGAAGGTGATGGGAGAGGCAAGGATGACTCCAGGTCACGGATCTGAGCAATGTGTGAATAATGGCACCATTCATAGAGATGAGCGACAGAAAAGGAGTTTTGGAGGGAAAGCTAAGAAGTACAGTTTTGGGCATTTAGAATTTGAGCTGTTTCCACATCTCTGGATAGGAAAAGAATCAGATGACTCTGGCTCCCACTGACCAAGTTGTAAAAATTATTATTGCCAAATGAAATCACTTGAATTTTGAAAAACTGTGAGTTTCAGTCAAAATAGAAAGGTTAATATAAAGTATTTTTAAAAATGGTTACAATACAAAGAAGGCAATGTTCAAGCCTTTAGTTGTATATAATAGTACTTTGTTTTTTTCTATTATTTGTAAGACTATTCACAAAGTATAGACGTATCCTTGAGATATATAGTTGTATTCATTCACATAAGCATGAAAAAAGAAACCTAGGAAAAGGGGATAAACAAAGTAATCCCAGAAATAGGAATTCCGTACCCCAAACAGGAAGGACTAACCAGCAATGGGACCAGGTAGAAAGAACATGGACTCCTCACAATGAACCAACCTCAGATTCTAAAGAGGCAAAGTAACTGCAGACTTAATCCTTCTTCCCTTAGGAGATGAGCCCTCCAGCTGGTCTTATTAATTATAAGATACTAATAAGGTAAGTTACGTTTTCAAAAATGCCAAAAGACTAGATCAATATATACTTAATAGACAACGGGTTAACACCGGCCAAGCAAACTTTAAAAGAATATTGCCTTGAGTGAACAACAGTTTGCAAAAACTAAAACCTATGTGAAAGGCAAAAACTTAAAACAAAACTTACTGGAAAAAGAAGTTTGGTGTAACTATAAAAAAGAACCTCAACCTGAGGAGAGACTGGGGTTTGAATCTTGCTAGGAGGCCAAGAGGATACCTGTACAAATGGAAACAAATATACGACATCAGTTGGCAACCAGAGCCTCCAACTTGTGTTGTCTGAGGCAATATGTATTCTTATACTTGTCGGTCTGTCAAGATTCCTCCATCCCCAGGAGGGTCTCAAAATATTACCCTTGGGTCCTATGGAGATGTCAAAATTAGCATTTAGAGATACAGGAGAGTATAGGAGTAAAGGCTCTGGCAGACCGCTTGAAATCAAAGTCCAGCTCTGCCTCTTCCTACCTGTGTGACCTCAGGTAAGTTTCTTAAACTCTCAGTTTGCCCAGCTGTAAAATTGGGATAGTGAAAGCACACATCTCATAAAGTTATTGTGATCCTTAAATAGGATAATACGTGTGAGGCATTTAGAATAATATGCTAAGTAAGTGTCAGGAGTCCTAGGAAGGTAGAAATAAAGAAAATATTAATTACACTGTGTCGCTGCTGTTTTAGAGTAGGTTTAAGTGTAAGTGTAGCCACAATATTGGGATCAAAGTATTTGTACATGTTGTCTAAAGCATCAGAACTTTTTGAACAAATCAGCTGAACTACATCTGAAATTGTGGTTGAAACTGCTCAATGTTTAAGTGCTTAAAGACAATTTTCAAAGTTTCATTTATTAGGTTATAACTTTAATACACTGAGCATTAACCAAATTACAAACAAAGGTGAGCATAAACGCTCCCCAGCCATTAAACGACCAGCTAATGTTCCCAAGGTGCTCATCGTCTGTGGGCTCCCTGCCAGGCCAACTTCATTCCCCGTCAGGTCTAGACTCCACCAGCAGTCACTTCGGTAAGCTCTCAGTGGTACTCAGGACTCCTCAAATCCACCACATTCACATGGAATCACTGCCAGCAAAGGGTCACCTCTGTTTTTCCTCTCCCTATTTCTGGATCTCAGAGTATTTCTGGAGAAAATGCTTTTCAAATTCTTATTCTATACCTTCAAAGAGTGCTCGCCTAGAAAGCTTTTACCATTCCCATCTTAGCTACACAGCTATCCCAAACCTCCATGGTTACCCTTCAATTTCAGCAGAACACTGTCTTTCACCACACTGAAGCTTCGCAAGAGTGAGTTCTGAGCAAGGTAGGACTGTGGTAGAAAGCATTCCACAGGCCTGGATTACTGACTGTGAAGGCTTGGGCAAGTTACTTAAGCTAACGGTTGACCCCCCATCCCCTGTTTTTTAATACCTATTTCACAGGGCAGTTATAATAGTAAATGAGACAATTAATGTAAAGCATTTATCTTACAGTCTGTTCAATAAATGAAAGTTTCTTTCCTTTCTACTGCCCAACACCAGCCCATTCACAACCAATATTTCCAAGTACCTGTTATGTGCTAGGCAGCCTGGGTGTGAGGCCAGCAAAATGGAAATGTCTCTTCTCCAGGACTTTACCTTAGCGTCCTACATCTGTGTCCTACTTTCTTTTCCACCATTGTTTCCTCTCAGAATCTGCTTCCTGCATGACCCACTCTTCCTTTCTCCAGCATCTCCCATCGCTTCAGGAGCTTCTTCACATATCTGCAAACAGATATAATCCTCCTCGATGTGAAATTATCTTCACTGAATCCCATGGCCTCCCTCTGGCAAAACAGTTCTCATTTAGATTTTCCTTTCATGATCAAACTTCTTCTACATACCTACTGATGCCACATCATCACCACCTACTCTTCTCAAAGCCATTTTTTTGCTCCTGCCACCCCTCACACACCTGAAACCGCATGCTTGAAAACTGCCAATGCATTTCTGAGCTCTAATTCCGATAGTCCTTTTCTCCTTATTTCTCTGCAGCTTTTTGACTGTTTTGACAAGTTTCTGATGCTGCCCAAGGCTCAGACTGCGTACAGCGTTCTTCCCGCTATCCCGCAGAAAGTCCATGCACACCTGGTGCTCCATTTCCGCCTCTACAGAAATGCTTCCCGAGTCTAGTCCCAACCCCTCTTCCAAACTCATCCTGCATTTCCAAATGACTAAGAATTTTCAATTAGGCATTTTGTTGGCATCTTAAAACCACCTTCCCCTATGCAATTCCCCACATGACCTCCTCTCCCTGTCCTTACATTTCTAGCAGATGTTCTATTATTCTCCCAGGTGCCCCAAATTCAAACTCTTACCTAGCTATCTTTCCTCCCAAATCTAGTTAGTCACCAGATCCTTCTGAGTCTTCTTTTGCAATGTCATTTGTATCCTTACCCACCACCGACACCATCATCATTCAGGTCCACAACAGCTTGCTTCAGGACTACTACCACTACCAAGCGTTCCTAACTGGTTCCCTGCACTAGTCCCTTCCCCTCTCTAGTCCTGGATGGAACCTCTAGAATAACTGTACCAAAATAGTTTTAGTCCTGTCAGTCCCCGATCCGTCCCATACAATCCACCCTGCTGACCGTGTCTCGTCCTGATACTCTATGCTCTGACCCCACTGTGCTTTTCCCCACCCTTGTCTCCCACTGTTCCTCGATACTTCACTCTTAGACATAGCATTTCCTTCTCAAATCTGCCTAATGCTTCGCTACTTCTTTCCTATTTTTTTCACATCAAATTCTACCTCCTCCACGAAGGTCCCCTGATCTAGTGCGGAGGCCTATGGTAGGGAGCTAAACGAGACAATCTGATGCGATTTCTGGGAAAGACGGAGGGACTGGAGTGGGCGGCACCCTAGATTTAGTGTCAATTCCACCCACGTTTATTAAGCACCTATTATGGTAAGAAGGTACGGGAGGTGCAGAGGAAGTCTCCAAACTTCCCACGGAACACACGCACACACGGGGGCTGGGGGGACAACTTTCCGTCCGCACCTGTCCGAGCCGGGACGTCGACACACACACGCACACGCACACACTCACGCACACACGCACACACTCAGACGTTCTGCAGGTTGGCTCCGCCCGCGTCACCTGTTCTACTCCCACAGCACCTCCCCCAAGTTCTCAGTGTCCCCTTCTCTCGGCCGCTGCGCTCACTCGGCTCCGCCAAGACACACATCCACAGCCCTCACCTCCGGCACAGACTGCTCGCGACCCAGGAAGACGGCGCCTTTTCAGGTCGGGAAAGCAGTGCGCCGGCGCAGGGGGTTCTGACGTCCGCGCTCCCCACCAATGCTCGGCTTTGGCAGACTCCATTTCCCAGAAGTCTCAGCGGTTGGCGAGCTTTAATTTGATGTCTAAAGATCTGCGCAAGCGTACCCTTCTAATGAAGGGGTGGGCGGTGCCGAACCGGATCCGACGCGGCAGTGCGGCAGCCTGAGCGCAGAGAGGGAACCGTCGTGGATGCTAGGGACGCTTGTGGTCAGCCTGGAAGTGCTGCCTATGTGTGCTGTCACGTCCCTCCAGCCCTCCGATGAGAGGGCCGTCCTAAGGAAATGTGCCTCTTTTAGCTTTGGGGGCCGGTCCCTACTGAGAACGACTTCGAGTCTTCTGGCCCTCGGAAGGGGCTTGTTTCCGCTTCAGCTTGTTCACTTTTAAGGAATTTGGTTGTAAAATTTGGGCAGGAGTGACGCAGAGTTTGGTTCTGAGGATGCGGCTGGGTATGTGCACATTTTTGTGCAGAAAAGAGGAGAGCCCAGGAGTAAGGCAGGTAGCCCGACTCCCGACATTTTGAGTGCACACCAGCCTGTCTTCCTTGGTGCTACTGGAAGGACCCTCGTTGGAGTCTCGCAGGGCTTCTCAACCTTGACCGCACGCCGGAATCACCGAAGAGCTTTGATACATTGATTCCTGGGGCCCACTATGAGGAGTGAGAGTTTGAAAAGATCTGCAGGTGATCCTAATGTGTAGCTGAAGCGAAGAATCACTGCTCTATAGCTTCAGGGAAGACTTGAGATTATACAAAGAATGTGATGGAGTTCTACAGTCAGGAACAAGTCTACACTTGCACTCAAAAAACCTAAATTGCCTGCCGTAGGCAAGGCATTGTTACAAACACAAATAAGACACAGTTACTGCCCCAAAGGAACTCGTGTTCCAGTGGACAAATCAGAATGTGAAATTGTTACAACACAAAGCAGTGTGTTCTACAATTATGTCACTATAGGGAGACACTATTGGGAGTACAACTGAGGAAGCAATTAACTATGGCCGAGAAAGTTGGAAAAAGCTTCCTATAACTGGTATACTTGAAGAAGAGTAATTAGAAAAAATGCAGAGAGAATAGCATCTGCAAAGGTATAGGCTAGAGGATAAAAGTGCAAAGAATTAGCAGCAAGATGAGTGGCTGATGGGTAAGGTTTAGGGGCTGATAACCATGACTTGGAGCCAGATGGAGGACGATTTTGTGCTATAGTAAGGGGTTTGGACCTTCCAAGAGGATTAGGACTTGGAAAAGTTACAATGTCCAAGACATATTTTCTTGCTGTTCCCTTCTGTGGGTGTTTTTTTTGTTTGTTTTTTGTTTTTTGCAGTACGTGGGCGTCTCAGTGTTGTGGCCTCTCCCGTTGCGGAACACAGGCTCTGGACGCGCAGGCCCAGCGGCCACGGCTCACGGGCCCAACCGCTTCGCGGCATGTGGGATCTTCCCGGACTGGGGCACGAACCCGTGTCCCTTGCATCGGCAGGCGGACTCTCAACCACTGCGCCACCAGGGAAGCCCAGGTGGTTTTTATTATTCGTTTAGCCTTCTGCTGAGAGTGGAAATTTGTGGGTCCTGGGTGAGTTTCTTAGAGTTCCCAACCCTTGGGCAGGCCTTAGGGTTTCATCGCTACCTTAACTCCCCGGGTTGCTGTCAGAGTGGGAGCTTAAGTACTCCAGGGTTTAGCAGGGTAAGAGTTGGGTTTACTGCTCACTCACCTCTCAGGGCTGTAGCTCACACTTCCTTATTTTTTTAAATTGAGGTATAGTTGATTTACAATATTATATTAGTCTCAGGTGTACAACATAGTGATTCACAATTTTAAAAGATTATACTCCATTTATAGTTATTATAAAATATTGGCTATATTCCCTGTGCTGTACAATATATCCTTGTTGCTTATTTATTTTTTACATAGTAGTTTGTACCTCTTAATCCCCGATCCCTATCTTGCCCCTCTCCACTTCCCTCTCCCCACTGGTAACCACTAGTTTGTTCTCTATATCTGTGAGTCTGTTTCCGTTTTGTTATATTCACTAGTTTGTTGTATTTTTTAGATTCTGCATATAAGTGATATCGTAAAGTGTTTGTCTTTCTCTGTCTGACTTATTTCACTAAGCATAATACCCTCTAAGTCCATCCATGTTGTTGCAGGTGGCAAAGTCTCATTCTTTTTTATGGCTGAGTAGTATTCCAGTGTGTGTGTGTGTGTGTGTGTGTGTGTACACACACACAAGTCCACTGTCCTCCTTGGCAGCAGATGCCCATTGAAGGAGACCCAGCCCAACCTACCCCCATTCTTTGCTGGAATATTTTATACCACATCTTATTCATCTGTTGCTGGACAAAGGTTGCTTCCATATCTTGGCTATTGTAAAGCTGCTGTGAACATTGGGATGAGTGTATCTTTTTGTTTTCGTTCTTTCTTTTTTTTAACTTTGCAAATTCCTTACTTTCATGCCTGTGTGTTTAGAGAGATGATTTATAAGTTTTCAGCATTTTTAGTTAGTTTTTTTTCAATTAGGGTTGTTCAGGGAACCCAATCTGCCATGCTGCTGGAAAGATTAAGGGAATTTTAGCCAGTTTTCTTAGAAGAGTTAGGAAGGGCATATGGATGCTGAACAGCCAAGAAACAACGTTGTTTAGAATAAAACAAGGCCTGCCAGCTGGAGGCTCTGCCAAATTGCAAGATGTTACGGCTATCTGCTGCTGTGTAACAAATCACTTCAAACTCAGTGGCTTAAAACAACGTTTATTATGCCAATAACTTCTGTGGGTCAGGGACTTGGACAGGGCACAGCAAGGGTGGCTTGTCACTGCTTCACACTGACTCCATTGGGAGGACTCAAGTGTCTTCATCACTTGTGTGTCTGGTACATGGACTGGCATCCATGGCTGGGCTCACCAGGACTGTGGACCAAAGTCCCTACACGTAGCCTCTCTTTGTACTCGGACCTCCGCACAGCGTGGTGGTCTCAGGGTGGTCAGACTTCTTACATGGCAACTCAGGGCTCCAAGAGAGAGAGTCCCAGTGAACAAGACAGAAGCTGCATGGCCTTTTATGACCTAGCCTCGAAGATCAATTGTCACTTCTGCTTTACACTGTTGGCTGAAGCAGTCACAAGCTTGCCGAGATTCAAGGGTAGGGCGTTACAGCCCACCTCTCAAAGGGAGGCATGTCAAAGAAACGATGGTCGTTTAAAAAAAATCTGCAACATAGGATTTTAGCCTTCCCCTTTCATGGGTGTTTCTCTATGAGACAGGTGGGGCGGGGGTGGAGTGTGGCCTTGCAGTGCCCCTATTTTCAGCGGACAGTTGTGCTGTGTCTCGTTGTTTTGCTCAGCTGTGTTGCTGTCTCCTGAACTGCTGCAGTTTGCTTCTAACAGCTCCTCCCAGGCCCCCTCTTGCAATTCTAAGACCCCTCTTCTTGGACACCCTTTGACCTTATTTCTCTGAGCGTCTCTTCTCTTTGCTGCTACTACCTGGTACTCTGTATCCAGATCTACATCTCTCCAAACTCTCTGTCAAAAGAAAACATCATTCTTTTATATCATGTGGCCTTTTAAGAGGCGTTATCTTAGCAGAAGAGCATGGGCCCTTAGTGATAAGTGTTTTCAGTTTTACCACTCAGTCTATGGGGTAGAGGATGGTTTGTCCCCTAGCAAAGGGATTTGGCTAGTTAGCAGTAATATTCTTTATTTTCTACTACCACCTCTCTTTTCCTGGGGTGCATGTGTATCATCAGAAGCTGGGTAGATGAGGTGGAAGAGAAATATTCAGGCACGATTTTACACTATACCTGAAAAGCATTGTTTCTTCTGATGCCTAGGTCTGATTCCAGGTCAGATTGGTAATCTACTTCTATACCTTTGTTTGTTTAATATATTTTTTTCAAAATAGATACCATTGGATTTTTTGTCCACCCTAAATGACTGTATATGCCTGAGCCCTAATTGTGAACAGGTTCCTGTTTTTACCGTGGGACTCCTTACCCAGGTAAGTCACATGGCGGTGCTCTAACATCCCACATTAGTTAAGGAGGCTCTGTCTGCTAGAGCACACGTTGGACCTGCAGAAATCTCTGTGCTTCAATTCTGCCTTTCAAAAGCACCAGCCAGTCTTTCACATTTTTGTTTCTTTTAATTAGTTCTTAAAATTCCTTTGGCTTTTTAAACTAGAGTAAGCCATCTCCTTCAGGCTTAAGTGAGTTAGGGAGATGCTCTTGCTATCTGATTTTCCTCTGGATAAAATATTATGAGTATTGTTCTTAAAATCTGATATTTCCCATTATTTTTCTGTGGTAATAGAATTTTAGCCAGGCACAAGAATAAAGACTACATTTCCTGGTAGCTAGGTGTGGTCATGTGTTCTGGTAAATAGGATGTAAGTGGATGTGTTGTACAGCATCTTCTGACAACCTTCCATAAAGGAGAGCTGGACTCAGAACAAAAAGGAATGAACTACTGATACACATGACAACATGGCTGGATCTCAAGGACTTTATTCTGAGTGAAAGAAGCCACTCTCAGAAGGTTACATACTGTATAATCTTGTTTATAAGGTATTCTGGAAAACTACAGCACAGAATAGAGCAGTGGTCACAAAGGGTTGGGATGGGAGAAGGGTTTGAGTACAAAGGAGCAGCAAAAGGGAATGTCAGGGGTAATGGGGAAACCTATCAGGCTGCTGGGGACCAGGGCTCCCCTGACTGCACTTGGCATCAAATGGCACACCAGAGCACTCGGAGTCGGGGAAGAGACATCACTGTTAAGCTGTTGATTAACTCTCCAGGGTAACAAATGAGCATTGTAACAAGGGCCTCTAGCTCAAGTCTGTCCCAAAGGACGGAATTTAAGAGTGGGAAATGTCAGGCACTGTAGCAGGCCAATGCCTAAAGGAAAAGGTATCAGGGGCGGGCAGAGCCCCTCAAGTTCATCTGAAGCAGTTCCATTTCTAGTTATGTCAGCCACCAATGAGATGACGCTCTTTTCTCATGTGTCCATACCCTCCCCTTTTTGGGTCCAGAGCACAGAAGAGAACAGAAACTCCTGTGCCAGCCATGGTTCCCAGGCAGCACCCCCTTTCCACACCTCCTCGGCTTGGGAGAAAGAGGGCTTACTTGCTGGGCAGTTGCTGTTCCACCCTGGCCATCTGTGCCACCAGAAGTGCTGGCAGAAAAGTGAAACAGATTGAAAGAACAAGAAAGGAGAATGGGGACTTCCCTGGTGGTGCAGTGCTTAAGAATCCGCCTGCCAATGCAGGGGACGTGGGTTCTAGCCCTGGTCCGGGAAGATCCCACATACCGCGGAGCAACTAAGCCCATGTGCCAAAACTACTGAGCCTGTGCTCTAGAACCCGTGAGCCACAACCACTGAGCCCACGTGCCACAACTACTGAAGCCTGCGCACTCTAGGGCCCGTGCTCTGCAACAAAGAGAAGCCACTGCAATGAGAAGCCCATGCACCACAACAAAGAGTAGCCCCCCTCGCCACAACTAGAGAAAGCCCATGCGCACAGCAACGAAGACCCAACGCAGCCAAAAATAAATTTATTAAAAAAAAAAAAGGAGAGTGGACTTTTTACCCTGATTTAGTAGGTTATTCTTCCTTGAACCCCTAATTAGGGTCTATAAATCAACCTCTCAGTCCTCACAAATCCCCTCTCTGATTGAGGAGTGCCCCCAGAGAACCACTGTTTTAATATCCAGACCGTTTCTCCATTTCATTTAGGTCCTAGATGATACGCGTTTCTAGAAGAGGAGGGAGTCCAAAGCCCCCCCTTCTTTGAGTTCACCCTTCGCTGAATCCAAAACCGGGGGGCAGTGGGAGAAAGACAGGCACGTTAACAGCCTGTAGAATGCAGTTAGTAGCCTGCAATTGATCTCAGGTGGCCTCGGCCTGCAGCGGCTTGAAGCAGGGTTTCGGTTTGTAGCCAGAGATTGAAGTCAGGCCGTGGCAGTGAGAGTGCTGAATCCTAGCCTCAGACCACCAGGGACCAGTGGCCAGTGACAAGGCCCTGGCCCATCAGCTGTGTAGAAATGAATTTCCACATAGAGTAAGAAAGTAGTGAAACAAAGTATTTATTAGGAGGAAAAAGGGTACGTGTGGATAGGCACACAGGTGGGCTCAGAGAGGGTCCTGCCCCTGTGATAGTTTGAATCACTTTTATGGGGCATTTCTTCCACGTTTCCTTTGGCCGATCATCTTGCTTTGCCTGGTTCTGAGTTCGTATTTGGTATATCTCAGGGTCCTCTCATATGTGCGCATGCACCTCTTAGCCAAGATGGATTCTAGCGAAGAGGCCTATGGGTAGGTTGACATCACCTACTATGTGGTGGCGGCCCCTCCCTTTTTGACCTTCAAGGAGCCTTTCTGCGCATGTGTAGTCAGGAAGGTCTCCTCGACCTCGAGATGAGAAATAAGCGGTCTCTTACCTGGGCAGCGCTTAGCTTCTCCTCCTTCCTGCTATTTTGGCCCCTTCCAGCCTGGGACCCATCTATCTCCTGCCTCACCATGGGCCATCAGATCTCCTGGGCACTTTATAAGAAATACACATGTCTGGAGAGCCTCCTAGAAATTCTTATTTGGCAGATTAAGGGTAGGGCCCAGGCTTTTTAACAAATCTCCAGTGACTTCTGTTCAGCAGCCCCAAGCCAGGCTCTCCGGCCCAGGTACTAAAGGCACTCCCAATATGGGGGTTGCTTCCGGTTCCCTGCCCGTGGCTGGGAGCAGGGTGAAACCTCCATCCACGTAGCTGATGCCCACTTCCCCCGTCCGCAGCTGCGGGAGCACAGCACCCAAGATTCCCCAGTTGCCAGGGCGCAGGCGCTGCTGGGTCCCGCCCTGCAGCCGCGCCCCCTCGCGTGGCGGCCGGTCTGCGCAGGCTCAGGACGGGTCCCGGGAGGCGGGGCTGGGGCTGGAACCCGGGCGTCCCTTGGATCTTTGTGGGTTTAGCTACTCCTGGCGCGCAGGACTGACCTGGGCACCGGGCCCCGAGCCCGTGACACAGTGGGGAGTGTCCCTTCTTCTGCCCGCCTGCGAGGGGCTGAGGAGGCCTGGAGCTGGGCGCAGAGTTGCGGGGCCGGTCGTTTCCCTGTGAGGCTCTCCCCAGAATCCCTGCTGCCTCCGGGCAGTGGAGGAGCGGGCACCGAGGTCACAGGTGTGGCTGGGGCCGTTTTTCCTGGTGCTCTGCGTGAGAGCTGGGTTCCAGAGCCTGGTCCCTAGGAGGAGAGTGGCGGAGCGGAGCCCGTGGGCGGAGGCCGGGCGCGTGAGGGGTCTGGGAGTGGGAGCGGGAGAAGAGCATCGCCCCCGCAGCCATGCTGCGCGCCGCTGGGAAGTGGACCCGGGTTTGATAGCCCTGCTCTGGGCGCTGCGGGTTGGCTGGGCGTCGCTGCCGGAGTAGGAATGCCTGGTGTCACCCAGCTTGCTCCCCGCTCCCTGAACCCCGGGAGGACCGCAGGGACCCGGCCGGAGGACAGAGATTTGGACCTAGTGAAAGGACATCGTCCCTTAGCACCAGCTATGGACTCCACAGCATCAGGTTTGGCTCTCGAGGGTGCCGCGGGCCAGACCCCTCCTGGGGGGGTTAGTGCTGGGTCGAGGAGGAGGGCCCTAGGAAAGGGGCCGGGGAATCCCACTGGAGAGGCAGAGCCTGCAACCGCCTTCCCTGTGGCGGTGCCTTCCAGGCTAATGAGCGTGAAGTCCCAGCATCCAGAGACCATGGAGGGCATGGCCATGGGAGACTTATCCCAAAGGCCAGAGGACAGAGGGGAGAGCAGGAGGGGATCTCTTCCTGCTGTGGCAGGGAGACGGCAATAAACCTGTGAGGGAGTGGCCCTTGGCCAGGGATCAGAGGACAGTGGGGCCATTTGGAGCCTTGCCACCCACTTCCTTTATTACTTCCTTAAGTAATAATGTTCTTCCGGAGCAGCTGGGTACAAGGTCAGCAGTGTACACGGTGGGCACCTCCTGTGACCACCGTCTGCCCCAGTGTTGGGGAGAGCGCAATCCAGGTGACCCAGGAGATTTTAAGCCATTCCTTTCTTAGTTTAGAATCTCCCGCCCTTCACCAAGTGGGCATTTTATTTTTGCTGCGTTGGGTCTTCGTTGCTGCACGCGGGCTTTCTCTAGTTGCGGCGAGCAGGGGCTACTCTTTGTTGTGGTGCACGGGCTTCTCACTGCGGTGGCTTTTCGTTGCGGAGCACGGGCTCTAGGTGCGTGGTCTCAGTAGTTGTGGCTCACAGGCTCAGTAGTTGTGGCGCACAGGCTTAGTTGCTCTGCGGCATGTGGGATCTTCCCAGACCAGGGCTCAAACCCGTGTCCCCTGCATTGCCAGGTGGGTTCTTAACCACTGCGCCACCAGGGAAGTCCCGGGTGGGCATTTTAGTTCTTCAGTGCACATGCTCAGGGTCATAAAACTGGCCAATGACAGAACTGGGCTAAATCTCTGGGACTCTCACCCCCTCTTTTTTCCTATATGCTTTGTGGTCTGTAGACCAGCAGCACAGGCTTCCCCTGCAAGCTCTCTAGAAATGCAGACTCTCACGCCCTACCCCACATCCCCTGACCCAGTCTGTTTAGCAAGATCCTCAGGAATGCATATGCACATTAAAGTTTGAAAAGTGCTGACCTGTGCTATACCACGCTGCCTGCCTACCTCCCTGCGTTTGTTGGTGGTGGCCGTAGCCACTTCTCTGGCATGGTTGGGGTTAGTTTTTTGTTTGAAGACTTTAAAAAGAGTATGATACAAAGGCCTATAATAGAGGGGCTCTCAAAATACACTCTAGAGACCTAACGGTGCTTAAGAACATAGAGGACAGCTTCTCAGGAAGAGCTGGCCTCTGCATTGCTTCCCAGGGATAAGGGGAGAGGTGTAACTTCTTCCCCAAAGTCCTATATCCCTATGTGGCCTCATCCTAGGCCTTGTTTTGTATTGTTAACCTGTCTTATATCCTCAGGTTACATTAAAATTCCTTGAAGTTCTTATTCACGTTTATATTTTCAAAAGGCCTAGTAAATGACCTGCATTATTGGAGGCCCAGTAAATAACTCTCCGATAGAGTGGCCAGACTGTGGTCACACTTCAGCTACCTACAGCTTGCTGTGGCCTATGGACAGGTGGGGACCTCACGCAGCTGTGTACAAGGGCAGCCTCTAGCCCGTCCGTCAGCTCCCTTTGGCCCAGCCTTGTCCCCAGAACCATGGAAGCGACACACTGACTTGGGGAGTCTGGGAGCTGTAAATCTCATGAGGGTTAGCCTTCCTTATGGCTCCTTTTACCTTCCTAGTTCTCCCTTCTCAGGACCCTGCTCTTCCTCCAGAGAGATGCCCAGGAGAAAAGGGAACAGCCAGCTTATTCCTGAAAGCCAGGCCCCAGGTGAGTTGGGCTTCTCTTGATTTTTCCTCAATTGCCTGAACTATGGCTAGTTTTGCCTCCTTTTCTCTGGAGCTTCCTGGTTTGCCAAAGGGAACTGACCCCAATTCCTGCTCTGCAGGAGGCCGAGCCCATCAAGGCTTTTGCTGGCCTCCTTGCCCCTTGTCCAGGGCCCTCTCCTCTGCTCAGTGTGCACTCACTCAGATCCTTTGGTTTATTTCTGTAACGGGCACTGTGGTGAGTACCAAGTAATGTGAGAGCACCCTGGCCCTGAAGGAGATGTCACAGCCACGGAGGGGAGAGGACTCTCGCACCCGGGATGCAGCCCCAATCACAGTAAGGATGTGTGTGGTTTGATGGCAGATGGAATGGCATAGACAGGCCTTTCCATCAGAGTTTGGGAAAAGGAGAACCAGCCTGTGCTGGAGAGGTTGGGGAAGGTGCATGGAGAAGTGGGGACAAGGAGGTTCTGAGGGTTCGGACAGGTGAGGAGGTCATTTGAGGCTGGGCCCCCGTGCACATGTTATCTTCCCGGGTTAGTGTGGAAACACACTTAACTTCCCTGCTTCTGGCTGCGTGACCTTGGATGAATCACCTAAACTCTCAATGCCCTGGTTTTGCCAACTGTAAAATGAGGATGATAATCATGTGGATGATAACGATGAAAATAATAAAAGCTATTATTTGCTGAAAACCAAATAGGTATCAGGAACTATTCTACACAATTTATTTATACTAATTAATTTCATCTTTAAAACAGTCCCATTTTGAAGAATGGCAACTGAGGCACAGAGAGGTAACCTGAGGAAACCAAGGCACAGAGAGAGAAAGTAACGTGGTCCTGGTTATCTAGCTAATGAAGGGGGGGGGAGCCAGTTTCAGATCTGGGTTGTCTGGCTTCAGACTCAACCACTCAGTAACACATCCACCTCATGTAGCTCTTGGAGTCTTCTGGCACATGGAGTTGCCTAGTCCTTGTCAGCTTCAGTTGCGATGGGGATGCCGGGGTTAATGGTGACTGACTGTAGAGGTGGATTCAGGTTTGGCTGTAGGAGGCTGGATGTGGAGGGAGAACCAAGTGGAGGGCCGTGAACGCCAGCCTGCATCGTTTCCTAGCATCCAAGATGGTGGTTTAGTGGGATTCTGGCTGGATAATAGACATTCATAATTAGTTTTCTAGTCAGTAGGGGAAACCCTCACCAATAAGGAATCGTCTCAAGTAATTAGTAGAGTAATAAAGAGCTTAAACCTCTTTGGCCTTGATGTACAGCATTCAGAGGTATATCAGAGAGCTTCATCTAGTTATGCTGTGGTAGCCACAGCCCCCAGCTCTCACTGGCTCACGGTAACGAAGTGTGTTTCTTCTATACGTTACCTGTCATTAGGGGGCTCGCCGTGACTCTGCTCCATCCATACCCTCTTTACTCTGGGATTCAGGCTGAAGGATCTGCCCTCCTCTGGGGTGTGCCGTTCTCGTGGCTGGGGGAAGGTGCAGTGTGAGGCTCAGGAGACGGCTCTCCAGGCTTCTGCTGAGAACTGGCATGTGCTGCTTCTGCTCACAACCCATTGGCCAGAGCAGGTCACGTGGCCATGCCTAATGTCCGTGAGGTGGGAAGTATAAGCCTCTCATAGTAAGGGGCCCAGAGGGAGGGGCAGTAAACATTCTGAACAAACAATTACACTGTCTGTTCTCTTGCTCACAGATGTTCACTTCCCTCCCTCCTGCACACAAAATCTCTCCCCAGGGGAGATATAATCCAAAAGCCCCATCCAGTCAGAGCATCAGGACTGAAGTCCTGGATGGTGTGATATTTTGGACATCAGGTCTGGATATTTCTCCTCTGGATATGGAGATCTATGAAAAAAGAATCCATATATCCCACATACAGTGGAACAATGGGGCGGGATAACCACAGTAAACACCCCTGTTCAGAAAGGGGAACCATGGGAGGAGCCCAGCAGTCCCTGGTCTGTAACAGTTAGGAAATTCCACCGGGCAGAGTATGCATATGGCTGATTTGCTTTGTTGTGCAACAGCAACTAACCCAGAACTGTGAAGCCGTTATACTCCAATAAAGATCTCTTAAAAGAAAAAATTCCACTGGGCAGACTTGGTGAGGACCTTGGCCTCGGGAGTGGGGAAGTCTTTTGGTTATATGCAGTGGCTCTGCTCCCTGGGTACAGCTCCCCAGTCCAGTGTTCTCCCTGGCTCTTAGCTCTGCCCTCCAGAAGTTCCTTCCTTTTGCAGTATCCCCCTTGGTCACATATGAAGATGATGTTGGAGAATAAACTCTTTTGAGGGCTAAGCAGCTTTTTCATTCTGCCTGGGTAGGTTGATGGCCCAAGGATTGTTTCAAATCATGAACATTCAGTGTAACTCTCAAAAACTCGACCAGCTTTTTGTGTTACTTCCTTCCATTAGCTCCCTGTGTCAATAGCTTTTTCCCACAGTTCTTGTTGAAATATGCCCCTCTCTTTAGACTTAATTGTGGAGCTTTTGGGGTTTCCTTGGGAAAACCATACTTTTAGTCACTCTGAACAGATTGGTCCCACTGAAAGGATTTACTGGGAGCCATCTGAAATTAATAAGAGGTTTAAACAAAAGGTTTGACAATCACACCCATGATTTGGTCCTTGCCATTAGGCTGAGTTTTAATCAGCCTTTGTCATGCAAAAGTCATATTTATTTTGTCTTTGACCAGCTGGAAATGAGAATTGGTTAAATCTCCAACCCTGCAAGTCCTGGAGTTTCTGGACACTTTCTTTGGCCTTCCATTTTTATTTTGCAAATCAGCAAACTCTTGAGCTCATTTTTTTTTGTTTTCCTGTAATACTGTCAAATGACAGTGCCAATGACAACCAACTCATACTACTGATATTATGTTTCCCTCCTCTTTTCATAACATCACAAGCTCATGCTTGCATTGTTCGTCTTTCAAGTTACAGCAGCAACAGCTTTACCCCACAGCTCACCACCAAATTACATGGGTTGCCATCTTGCCAATAAGTTTCCTCACTGCCTGGCCCTGAAGACAGTGTCACGTATTTTCGGCTTTTTGTCATGGCAGAACCCTACTTGGAGTACCAGCTTTTTTAATGAGTCAATTTAGGCTAGTTATGCTGTGATAACAACAGCAAACCCTGAGAGACTTACACCAGCAATGGTTTATTTCTTGTCCACATTACACACAAGCTGTGGTTTTGCCCCACATCTTCACTCTGGGATCGTTTGCTGTTCTCAAAGCAGAGGAAAAAGAAGCAGTTGCAGAACCTCCACTGACCCTGAAGGCTTTTGCTCATTAAGAAGCTCCTGTCACTTCCTTCACATTCCATCTGTGAAAGCAGAGTATTTGGCCACACGTGAGACAGTGGGTTAGGACCATCAATTTTGTAGGGAGGGCCAATGAATATTTTGAACAAATAATATAATAATATAATTATAATAAATAATATAATAATCGATCACAAGAGGTTACTAAAGTAGTGAGTTTTCCACATTTGATTATTCTGGACTGCCTTTAACTTAATATAAAATTGTTACTTTGCCTTATTCTATGGAAACCTTAGTATCTAAATGGGATTTGACTTTTAAACGTTTTTGGGGGAAAGTAACAGTACTACCTTCACTTATCTGCTTTATAGTTCATAGTTTATGGATTATTGTACAATGTAAGTCAAATGAGAGTGTTGCTGTTATAGAGAGTGACAGGATAGTTCTGGTTGGGACCCACAGAATGGTTGTACCTTGTGGGGACCTGAGATCCAGGGTCTCACTCTCAACTTTGCACATTCGGGAACTGAAAAATGATTAGGCTTTGGGGGAGAGGATTTATGTTAATCAAACTCGCAGAAGTCTTAACTGATTCACTATAAGGCCACTTGATATACTTTCAGTGAACTGCGTGCTGGCAGGCTGTTTTGGGGATAAGTTATTCTAAGCCCCAAATGATTTTATTTGGCCTTAGCAACAGTTGTCATTGAAATCCTAGGTCACAAGTTTCAAAAATACTTAATTAGAAAACTACTGAAACCATTGCATTTCAGAATGCAGAGTATATGAGTTTGTTACTTCTAATTGATTCTATTTAAATGTCACTAAATTGAGAGTGAAACCTTTGGAAAACTGAGGAAATGGATTGTATTTCTCTCTCCCATATAAGCAGAGTGTCTCTGTAGGCCTGATTCTCCTGAGACCCCGATTACATTTCTAAGCAGCTTGATGTTGACATATGTGGGCACTGGGTGGGATGCCAAGTAGTAAGGATGACACAATCCCTGGAGCAGCTTAAAATATTTTTGAGATGATAAAACCCAGAACAGGGGCATTGCGATCGCTAGGAACTCTCGGAATCCCTTCCCGTACATCCTGAGGTTCTACTCAGACACCAGTCTACTCTCCTCCCCAGGGTCATGAGTGTGCTCCCGAGGGTGCAAGAGTGTCTTCTGTGTTTCAGGACCTGATGACATTTGAGGATGTGGCTGTGGAATTCACCCGGTGGGAGTGGGGGCAGCTGGACCCTACTCAGAAGGACGTGTACCGGGAAGTGATGCTAGAGAATTTCAAGAACCTGGCCTCCCTGGGTGAGCTCAGCTCCTCCAAAGCCCAAAGCCTGCCCATCATGCCATCTTTATTTCCTTGGTGTTTAAAAGCTAGGGGTGTCTGGGCCTGTTGGCTGATTTTTGCCCTGGGATTCTGGAATTAGACATTTACATTCTCTTTGGCGCCCAGAGATACAGTATTTCTATTCCTTGTTCCTAGGAAAAGTCCCACTCCATATGAACTCAGAATAAGAAGCTTCATGACTCTGCTCCTGATACTTCACAATGCTTATTCTTTGGAGGCTGTCTACAAGCCTTGACCTCTGACATACACAGTCATGATCCTTTTCCTTTTCACCAGGGTTTCCAATGTCCAAACCGTATGTGATCTGCCAGTTGGAGGAAGGGGAAGAGCCCTGTATTTTGGAGAGAGAAATCTCAACAGGTGCCCCCGCAGGTGAGTGAGTTGGACCAAAGCAGATAATAAGGCCCAAGCGAGAGTGGGAAGTTCCCCTGAGCCCTTGGTCAGGGGGCTTTTCTTTGAAAAGGTGAGGTCACTTGCCAGGAACCCTCAACACCAGTATTTTGAATACTTGTAGGCTTTTGTAATGTTTTTCTGGTGGGAAAAGAAGAGATGTTCATTTTCTTCTCTAGTGTTTATATTTCCCTTGTTACCTATCTCTGCCCACCCTTCAGGGTTCTTGGGGCTGTGCATCGTCACTAGATGTCACACGGTCAGTATTAGATGGAATCTAAGGATCAACAGATGTAAGTGCCCAGCAATCCTGTATCAGCAGGGCTAAGAGAGTTAGCAAGGGACCAGAATGAACAGTTAAGTAGCCCAGAAATTAAAGGCGTTACTGGCAAGGACATCCTGATCAGGAAGATCAAAGTGAGGACACTTCAAGCTTGGTTAAGCTAAGCTGCAACAGAGGTGATTCCAGGAACAAAGACTACTCCTTACTAGCTGTTGATGGAACCTCTTTGAAACTGTTTATTCCTAGGTGATTTGAGAGTACCCCGTAGGCTCCACCCCTTGGGGTAGAATTCTGGACACAAAGCTCTCCTGACTCCCGTGTGTAGCCCAAGCATACTGGAGATGACAGTCTGTGTCAGTGTCCATCTCTGAGGCAGAATCAGCCTCAGGCCAGAGCTAACGCTCCTGAAAGCAGGGCTCAAATCCTGACAGCACAGGCTGGGCCTCGTCATGGGAACCTAGAAGAGAGGAGAGAGAGGGAAAATGCTGATCTCCTCTGTATTTAGTACTCTCTTGATCTTGTTTCCTTCCAGAATGCAGGCAAGGGTCTGACGTCTGGATCTAGTCTCATCATCAATATGTCTGTTTACAATGTTCTGCAAACATGGCTGTGTTTCAGAATCTCTCGGGGAGCTTGATAAACATTCCTATCCCCAGGAGCCACACAAGACCTACTGGCTCAGAATCTGGCCTCTGGGAGCCCTGGTTAGGCATTGCCAGTCATTTTACTCTTCAGAAGGGTCACTGTTATTGTATTAGCTTTCTGTTGTTGCTGAAACAAACTGTCACAAACTTAGCGGCTTTAAGCAACATGTTTATTATCTCACAGTTCATAGGTCAGAATCAAGCATGGGTCTCACAGTGTTACAACCAAGGTATCAGCAGGGCCGAGTTCCTTTCTGGAGTGTCTAGGGAAGAATCTGTTTCCTGTCCCTTTGGGTTGTTGGCAGTACCAATTCCTTGTAGTTGTAAAACTGAGCTCCTCGTTGTCTTACTGGCTGTAAGCTGAGGGGCGTTCCTAGCTTCTAGAGACTGCTACATTCCTTGGCCCCTGGGGCCCTTCCTCCACCTTCAAAGCCAGAAATGGTGGATCGAGTCCTTCTCACACCACATCTCTCTGACTCAGCCAGGAAATGTTCTCTGATTTTGGGAACTCTTGTGATTAGATTGGGCCCACCTGAATGATTCAGGATAATCTCCCCATCTCAAGGTCTGTGCCCTTAATCACATGTGCAAAGTCCCTTTTGCCATGTAAAGTAACATATGTTCCTGGGATTAGAGCATGGAAATCTTTGGGGGATAATTATTCTGCCCACCACAATTACATACAGTAATATAATACATGGTATATGTATATTATATAATACATAATAACGTGTGGTGTGGACTGAGGGAAGATTTTGTGGAGGGCATCTTCCTAACCCTCCTCTCATCTTTACAATCTTTGGACTTATCTTGTGTCCTGGAGTCCAAACACTGTTCTCTCAGGTTTTCCTAATCTCCAGTCACCTGTGTATCTTATTCTTGACACCTCCAAAACTTTGTTCAGACATATACCATTCTTGGAAGAAACTGTACACCTCTTTTAGATATTATTTTATTTATTAAAATTTTTTTAAAAATTTTATTTTCGGCTGCATTGGGTCTTTGTTGCTGTGTGCGGGCTTTCTCTACTTGTGGTGAGCGGGGGCTACTCTTTGTTGTGGTGTACAGGCTTCTCATTGCGGTGGCCTCTCTTGTTGTGGAGCATGGGCTCTAGGCATGTGGGCTTCAGTGGTTGTAGCATGTGGGCTCAGTAGTTGTGGCTCGTGGGCTCTAGGACACAGGCTCAGTAGTTGTGGCGCACAGGCTTATTTGCTCCATGGCATGTGGGATCTTCCCGGACCAGGGATCTAACCCGTGTCTGCTGCATTGGCAGGCGGATTCTTAACCACTGTGCCACCAGGGAAGTCCCTAGATATTATTTTAAAGGTTAATTATCTTACATCTATTATAGGACTTTACTTCCTCTTGGCACATAGAACAGGTAATAACAGACTGTCTTTTTTTTTTTTCCCCAGACTGGGAGAGAAGGCATCAAGCCAAGGAATCAATGCTAAGTCAGGGAATTTCCAAAGAAGAATTATTCCAGATAGCATCAGTGGAAAAAGACATTAGAGATGAACTCTGGTCCTCCAAACTGAAAGCAACTTGTGGTTGTGATGACCAGTTAGAGATGCATCCAAAAAAGCAGGAGAAACATCTGACAGAAATGTCACTCACTCACAAATATACTACCACCCTTAGGACAGATCATGAGTGGAGTGAATTTGGGACAAGTTTGGGTTTAAGATCAGTCCCTGTTAACCAACACAGTGTGCTCATGGGAGAAGGATACTATAAATGTGATACAGATTTCAGAGAGACTTCAGGGAGAAATAACTCTCAGAGAACCCATCCAGGGAAGAGATCTTGTAAATGCAATGAATGTGGGAAGTTTTTCCATTTCCAGTCAGAACTTAGGCGCCATCAGAGATGTCACACTGGAGAAAAGCCCTATGAGTGCAGTGAATGTGGAAGAGCCTTTGGTCATATTTCATCCCTTATTAAACATCAGAGAACTCATACTGGAGAAAAGCCCTATGAATGCAGCGCATGTGGGAGAGCCTTTAGCCAGAGTTCATCTCTTGTTCTACATTATAGATTTCATACTGGAGAGAAACCCTACAAATGTAATGAATGTGGAAGGGCCTTTGGTCATACTTCATCCCTTATTAAACACCAGAGAACTCACACTGGAGAAAAGCCCTATGAATGCAGAGAATGTGGGAGAACCTTCAGCCAGAGTTCCTCTCTCATTGTACATTACAGATTTCATACAGGAGAGAAACCCTACAAATGTAATAGATGTGGGAGAGCCTTCAGCCAGAGTTCCTCTCTCACTCAACATTATAGATTTCACACCGGAGAGAAACCCTACAAATGTAACGAATGTGGAAGAGCCTTTGCTCACACTGCATCCCTTATTAAACATCAGAAAAGTCATGCTGGGGAAAAAACCCTATGAATTCAGACAATGTGGGAAGGCTTTCAGCTGGAGTACACACACCACTAAACCTCAGAGAATATACATATATGTGTGTGTGTGTGTGTGTGTGTATGTGTATATATATATATATATATATATTTTATATGAGTGTAATGTATGTGGGAAGGCTTCTGGTCGGAGGACCTGTCTTGTTAAACATCAGACAGGACATACTAAACTGAAGCTCTGCTAATATCAAGAGAGGGAGTGGGCTTTTGTCACAACTCCTCCCTTATCAAACACCAGAGAATTCAAACTAGTAAACTATGTGAACATAATGGATTTGGAAAGGCTTTAGTTAGTGGACACACATTATTCAACATCAGACAATTTATACTGGGGAGAAGCCTTATCTGTGTAATGAGTATAGCACAGCCTTCAGTCACATATTATTCCAAAAAAAACACAAACAAACCAGATAACCATACTGGAGAGAAACTCCTCAAGTACAGTAAAAGCTGTCAGTAATACTTCTCTTCTTGCCTTACTAAGCAGCAGGAATACATACTAAAGAGAATCGCTGAGAAAGCAGTAAATGTGGGAAGGCCTTCAATCACAGCACATCCCTTATTAAGCATCAGAGAATTCGTTCTTGAGAAAAACCCTGTGGACATGGTGAATGTGGGAGAGCCTTCAGCCAAACCTCTTCCCCTTATAAACATCAGCAAGCTCACCCCACTGGTTAGAAACCCTGGGGATGTAAAGCATGTGGGAAAGGCTTTGGTGGATGTTCTGCCCTTTTTGCCCATCAGAGAATTCGTACTAGAGTGACTCTCTGAATTTAGTGAAACTGGGAAAGCCCACTAGCCAGAAGCCAGAACTACACATATTGTATAGTTCCCTTTATATGAACTCCACTAGTAATAATGTGTGTTCTCTAACTAAAGCCTTTCCAAATCCAAACCCCTCAGCATACATTAAGGCTTTACCCAAAAGGGAAACCCTGGGAGCTTAATGAATGTGAGGAAAGTTGATTCATAAATCTAGAGCTGAAAGGAAGCTAAGAGACCACCTAGTCTGGTGATTTCCTACCTGCTGGGGGTTGTTTTTATAACCACTTGTGTTGTCTCCCCATCCTGTTACTGATGGGAGAGGGGGTGCTGTGTGGGTGAAGAGAGTGAAGGCTGAGGAAGGTGGAGGCAACAGTGACCTAGCCCAGCCATATTTTACAGCTAAGGAATCTGAGGTTCAGAGAGTGCCATGCCCTGGTCTATACACCTAACTGCTGGACTTCTTTCCTTCTGGTTTACAGCTATAGTTTGGGGATTGAGAGAGTGAAGGCCTTCTCTACACAAAAGCTCCATGCACTTGTTTCTCTGTAATGTTACTTTTATGAGGCAGTAGAGTACTCTTATTATAGTTTTTGCGAGCAAAAAGCAATTTTAATAGATCTTTATGCTACTAGATTTGGGATTTTTGAAATAAAAAAATTTTAAACATCAATTAAAATATGGGTATTTTAAAAATCAAAACCTCAAAAACATTATCCTAAGTGAGAGTAGCCAGATGCCAGGGACCACATATTGTATGGTTCCCTTTATATGAAATGGCCAGAAAAGGCAAATCTTCAGAGACAAAGTAGATCAGTGATTGCCTGGGGCTGGGAGTGGCAACTGGGAGTGACTGCAAATATTTCAAGGAATCTCACTGGGGTGGTGGGGCTGTCCTAAAACTGGATTATGGCGATGGCTGAACAACTTGGTAAATTACTAAAATTCACTGAAATGTGCAAATAAAATTAAATTTTTTGGTATGTAAATTATACCTCAACTGTTTTTCAAAAATCAAATATACAGACATACCAACTATTGCTAAACCAATTTTCCTATCTCGTCTGTTACTTCAAGCCATCTGTGTGTCTTTGCTATCACTTTCTATTTTCTGTAATGGTTTTTCCTAAGCTTACTGGGTCTCAAGTTCATATCATGTTGTCTCTGCAACCTATGTGGAGAAGCCAAGACCAAGAGCTGTCATAGGCCAGAGGAGTCTTGGCTAAAGGAATTAGCTTGCACTAAGGACAGTCGTTCAAACATTTAAAGTCCAGATGAGTTAGCTGAGCCCAGAATTCAGGGAACCAGCTCAAAGTGGGGCCATGCAGACAAGCAGGATCTAGGGGTACAAGAGGTTGGCAGAGGGGAGTAGGCAGGTAGAAGGCACAGGAGGCATCTGGACAGCTAAGATCATGATGCCAGCCTAGGAGCCTGAAAATCATGGGAAATTCTTCCCAGAGATTCAAAGTTCACAAGCAGAAATAGCAAATATTTTATATTAGTAACAGCTTAGTTTGCTCTATCACACATTCTTTCCCTCCAGTGCCCTTCTCTAACCCCGCCCAGGTCACTTTATATACCTGGATACCTGCAACAATTTTGTAGCTGGTCTTTGCCTAACATCTGTCCCTTCCTCTTTTGTATCTTGGCCACGTTAAACATTCTCATCAGTGTGCACCCATTCGCACCCCTGAAAGCCTTTGTACTGCCTACAGGATAAATGCTCACCTCTCAGTTTAGCATTTATTGCCCTCTTCAGTCTGCCCTAATCTCCTGCTGCTCCTGACAAGAACCTCTATTTCAGAAAAACTAGCTTGCCTGCCATATATATTTAAGACATGCCTCTGCACCTCCCAGCCTGCCATATATATTTAAGACATGCCTCTGCACTTCCCAGCCTGGGCCGTTCCACCAGCCTGGAATGCCCCCTCCACTGTCTAAAGCCTAATAATCAGTCAGAACCCTGTTCAAAGGTCCACTCCTTGGGGAATAATTCTCTTGAACACTGATGAGAAGTCAGGTCTTATTCATTTGCAATTGTAAAAGCATTTGTTGTATCCATAAGTATTTACAAATGAACATATAGATAGGGATAGTTCTTATCACTGTCTTGATCTAGTTAAGTCACGGGTTGTTTATCATCTTGCCACTTTCTTGTCTCCTGAACCAGATTATCAGCTGCTCCAGGTCATTTCTCATACTTCCTCTCAGAAGTGAACACCCAGTAAGTCCTCACTAACCACGTATTAATTTGAAAAACAACTTGTATTGCCCAAGTTTTCTCAGTGCTCTGACTGCACAGTTTCTACTAGATGAAAATCTTTCCTTCTAGAACACTACCAATCAAATATTTTCTTAGAAAAATACTACATTGTTCCTGTAAGTATTTTTCAATTTCAAATATAGATTAGCATTGTGCCATCTTTTGGGGTTGTTGTATGCGTATATGAAAATTCACTGCTATTTTATTTTGTAGCACTACAATGACTTCTCATTCCAGCTACCCAGAGGTGGGCCAAACTTCACAGGTTAAGGAAACAGTCACCCACAAGACTGCTCTCACTTCAGACACCAGCCATGAATTGGGGGTCCCTAGGTCACCCTTCTGACCATCTGGCTACAAATTTGGGAGTTCCCACTACTCTTTCAGACTTGGTAATTCTATATAACTACTCTCAGAACTCAAAAAAGTGCTGTATTTATTACGATAATTTTATTATAGCAAAAGGATACAAATCAAAACCAGCCTAAGGAAGAGACACATAGGGTAAGGTTTGGGAACAGCACAAATGTGAGGCTTCCGCAGGAACACATTACCCATTTGGCATATTGATGTGTAACAACAATACATAGAGTGCTTCCAGGCCAGGAAACTCACCTGAGCTTCGCTGCCCAGAATTTTATTGGGGTTTCATTACGTTGGTGTGATCAATTGACCACACAGTTGAATTCCATCTCCAGTGCCCTCCACCCCCAGGTTGGGCTGATACCATGTGGCTCAAAACCCCAACCCTCTAATCACTTGGTTGATCTGTCAGGCATGGCCAGTCCCCATCTTGAGTCATCTCATTTGAGTAAACTAGCGGCCAACCACGAGTCACTTCATTAGCATAAAGTATCAGATATGGTCCTTGGGGGGGGTCACTATGAATAACAGAGATATCCTATCACTCAGGAAGTTCCAAGGATTTAGAGGTTACCTCCTAACACACATTCAAATCAATGTAAAAATGCTTCTTCAATTATTATTCAAATAAGTCATAAACATAAAGACTGTACTTTAAACATTCCTTATCAAATAATTGCAATATACCACTTCTGCTTGCAGACCACTGGCAAGAACTTAGACATAGGACTATGGCTGACGGCAAGGGAGGCTGGAAATGGAAGTCTTTGTCCTGGGCAGCAATGGGGCCAATGAAAATTGGGGGATTCTATTACGAAGGAAGAAGAGGAGGATGGATATTGACAAATGACCAGGAATCTGTGCCTGAAGACCCCAATACTTCAAAGCCATTTGGGAATGAGATCATATCCATGATCCTCTCTGGGTCTCAGTCTTCTCCTCTGTAAGATGAAGGGCTTTGCACTTGTGGAAATAAATGAGAAGAAACAGGCTGTTTATTCAGAGCTTGCCATAGCAAAGGATCAGCCACTATCACCTGCACCTGGCAGAGACCCAAAGGCATGAAGGGATTAAGAAAGCTTTACGATGAGAAGAAAAAAAGTGAAAGCTTCAGGTATGCCCTGACTGGAAGTTGTCAGCATGGGAAAACTGGAGGGGGGCTAAGTCGGAGCAGGATATCTTATGTGATTGGTTTGGGCAGTATATTTGGTTTTCTATGGTTGGTTCTAAGTTGGAAGTGAGGGCAAAGAATAGGGGGGAAGTAGCAGTCATTTGGCTGTTCTGAGCTGATTGCTGCAGAGGCTGTGGTCTGGCTTCCAGGCTGGTTGCTGCAAAGGTGTGGGGCAGAGTTCTATTGTCATATAAGGTGTATCCATTGTCCACTGGTGTATTTAGTCCCTCAGTTCTCCCTTTTGGCCACTTTCTTGCTTGAGAGAGGCTGACCAATTCAGAGATGCTAGAGAGCCAGATCTTTACGGAGGACTGTTTGGTTGTCTCCATAGTAAACTTATCATGAGATCTTTTTGATCTTTTTGTTGTTGTATCATCATGGCAATCAGATCTGATGAGAGAGAAGCTGTGCAGAAGCATTGAGCCAAGTAGGGTTTTCTTTAAGGTGATGTACTGCCTGTTCTACCATGCCTGTTTCATTGAGCCAACTATAGCAATGGCATAGATGCCCCCATGATCAGTCAGTAAGAAGTTTAGTGCAAAGCAATCGCCCATAACTACTTGAGCCAATGAGCTGAGACAAATCTACAGATCTTCAATCTAGGGAAGAGGTGATGTCATAACTTGTGGCAGTTAGTGAGTGATAGGTCTCTTACAGTCTTTTTGTCTCCCACCATTGGAAATACTGCTCTGATTGTTCACATAAACAATGAGTCAGCAATTCCCCAAGGCAAAGTGCATGAATAATTAAGGGTGGCTGCATTTTGGAGCTCTTGCCTGGGTTGGAATTTCCAGCACTGGTGATGTATAAAGTTAGGATTTCTATATACAGACAGTTTGGGAATGCTATTCCTAAAGTGCATGAATTTTTAGTCTGAGGAAAACGAGACCTGTTGACCTGGTTACAAAGGAAGTACAATCCAGTAAGGGCACGTAGAGATCCAGGAAAAAAGTTGTTCGTGACATGAGATTGGAGCCAAAGCCTCACATTAGCTCTGCTATATATTTGGATCCCTTTACTGTCTTCCAGCTGATAAGTAACTGGCCTACTACCCTAATGAAGGTTGTTGAATTCGAATTCAGAATTACCTGGATTCTGATCAACAGATTGTGATAACTGGCTCTTTCTCTGGGACACTAGCAAAGTCACAGGTTGCTTTGTTTAAGGTCATTTGTCCCTGTAGGTGCTAATGGAAAAACCACTGGCTTTAATTCTCTATAGTCTCATTTGGTGAGACCAGAACCGTTCATATATATTTATCATGATGGTCTGCCAATGGATGGCATATCCGGCAGTTGGTGAGATTTAGAGTAGTGGCTGCTATTTAGGATAATCTAAGAATGGCATTAGAATGAGTACGCTCTGGGGACTTCCCTGGCGGTCCAGTGGTTAAGACTTTGCCTTCCAGCGCAGGGGGTGTGGGTTCAATCCCTGGTTGGGAAGCTAAGATCCCACATGCCAAAAGACCAAAACAGAAGCAATATTGTAACAAATTCAATAAAAAACTTTAAAAAAAAAAGAATGAGTACGCTCGGACCTAACAATTATAATGAAGAGGGAAGAAAAGAGAAAACGGGTCGTTATGGGTGGATGACAACCAGGAATCAATAGAAATGAGAAGAGTAACTATAAGCGAGCAGATGAAAAACAAAACAAGACTATTTTTGAAGTATAGTTGATACAGTATTGTGTTAGGCAAAACAGGGCTTTGACACAGGTCTTGGTCTGACATCTTGGGCAGAAGCTATCTGTCATCTGAAGTCATCTGTTTATTCCAAAGGTCTTTGGTCAGCTGTATACTTCTGAAGACCAGCTGCTTCTAGAGCATCTGGGAGAATCCTCAGTTTGAAGTCCTCTACTGGAATAGGCTTCCAGTTGTGTCAATTCGGAAATTCTTCTTTAGTTGTAAAATATGTATTGAAGAATGGACCCCCTGGAGTTTCACTGCTGTATTTGTTAACAGTACCCGATAAGGTTCTATACAATAAGGTTCAAGAACAATTTTTCTCTGATGTCTCAGACAAAAATCTCATGGTTGAAGATCACCAAGAGGCTATTTAGGAAGATGCTGTGGGAAGATGTCCTTAACCTGCTGATGTTAGGACTGGGTAGAGTACATGAATCCCTTGTAATATTTTGCCATGTCTGCATGCAGCAGGGTAGAGTCTAGTATTGGAAGTGGAATCTCTAAATAAATGGGTTCAGTTCTTAGATAACTGATGTATCCCCAAGGGAGTGAACCATACGGCCATAAGGGCTTCTGGGAGTACCTTTGGCCAGGGAGCTAAAAGGTTTCTGACATTTTTGCTAATTTTAAGTTAAGGATGTCATTGATTCCTGTAAAGTGTGTGCTTTGATCACCTGATATAAAAAATGGGATGTGATAGGTTGGATACACGAAATCAAGCAGCTTTTAGTAAGGACTATAGCTTTTCATAGCAGCTAAATGCTTCAGTCCATCATAAAAATAGACATATTAAAAACTAAAACACATTCCCATTTCATGAAGGGTAAGAGCTGGATAAAATCCATCTGAAGGTGTCCAAGGATCTTGGAGGCTTTGGTTCCAGGCCATGTCCCACCTTTAGTTTTGTCAAGATTATGATTATAGGTGACACGTGACCTAAAAATAACCTGTTAAAAAGTTTTCTTTTTAAAGTTTATTTACCAGTGTTAATTTAAGATTGTAACCAATTTGTATCATGATGTGCAGTTTCATGGAAAAATTTAGCTATCATCTGAGATCATCCGGCACCACCAAGTGGCCATCTTGGGAGCACCAGTGATGATCTGAGTGAAGGTTACATTTTTTAACATTCTTCTTTTTCAGAGTCAGGGGCTAAACACTGATAGTCTATAGTGGCCTCTTTGAACTCCTCCAGAGATTTATCCTTTGAGGGTTTAGTTAGGAACCTCACCTGGGTTAAGGCTGCTTGTTTGGCCTAATGATCTGCTAGTGCATTTCCTTTCACTTCCATATTATCTCTTTTATATGAGCCTCAGCCCTTATAATAGCCACCTCTCTAGGAAACAGGAGTGAATCCATAAGTTCTTGTTGTCTGTTTTTGATGGGGATTCTGGGAGAGGTTAGGAAACCTTCTTTGTTTCAAAGCATCTCAAAGTCGTGTTCTGATCTCAAGCATATCTCCTATCTGTGCGTGTGCTTACCCTCTGGTCTTTGGCCAGTCGACTAATTGTATAGAGTAAGTGCAATAAGTTCTGCCATCTGGGCTGACTGTAACTCAGGTAGAGGGCTACATTCTAAAGAGAACTTAAATTAGTGACACCATATCCTTCTTGATAACCTCTGGTTTCATATTTGAGATATGCTTCATCAACAAAAAAATATTAGCTCAGAATTCTTAATTGGAGTCTCTAGTAAATCTGAGCAAGGTACAGAAAGTTTCCTAACTAAGGTAAGACAATCATGAGGTTCTCCTCCTGTTAGGGGCAGGAGTGTGGCAGGGTTCAGGGTGCTGCAGTAGTGAACAGAAATGTGAGAGGGAGAGAGTAACAGAATATAACATAATAAGATGTTAATTAGCAGGCTGACAGTGTAAACTCCCTCTTTTCACAGATGACATGATCTGATATGTAGAAAATCCTAAGAAATACACTAAAAACCTATTGGAATAAATGAATTCAGCAAAGTTTCTGGATACAATCAGATCAATATACAAAAATCAATAATATTTCCATACATGATCCATAAAAGAAACAAACCGATAAACTGGACTTCATCAAAACTGAAACCTTTTGCTTGGTGAAAGACCCTATTAAGAGGATGAAAAGACAGGCTACAGGCTGGGAGAAAATATTTGCAGACAACTTATTTCGAAATGTACTCCCATCTAGAATATACAAAGAACTCTCAAAACTCAATAGTAAAAGAAACCAAGCAATCCAACTAGAGAGTGAGCAAACACTTCACCAAAGAGGACATACAGATGGCAAACAAGCACGTGAAAAGACATTCAAACATCATTACCTATTAGGGAAATGTAAATTAAAACCATGATGATTTATCACTACTCAGCTATTAGAACAGCTTAAAAAAGTGTTTTTTAAGTGACAATTCTAAATGCTAGTGAGGATCAGAGGAAGTAGACTTCACACATTGCTGGTGGAAATATAAAATGGTACGGCCACTATGAAAGAGTTTGGCCGTTCTTAGAAAACAAAACATACCTTTACCATGCAATCTCACTTCTTGGCATTCATTCCAGAGAAATGAAAGCTTATGCCCACACAAAAACATGTACATGATGGGTATATACCTCTAAGTATTGAAAGCAGGGACCTGAAAATCTATTTGTACCCCATGTTCATAGCAGTATTATTCACAATAGCAAAAAGGTAGAAGCAACCCAACTGTCCATTGGCAGATGGATAGATAAACAAAATACAGTATATACATACAATGGAATATTATTCAGCCTTTAAAAAGGAAGGAAATTCTGACACATGCTACACAAGGATGAACCTTGAGGACATTATGTTAAGTGAAATAAGCCAATCACAAAAGGACAAACACTGTATGATTCTACTTATAGGAGATAGTTAATCAAATTCATAGAGACAGAAAATAGAACGGTGGTTGCCAGAGACTGGCGAGAGAAAGGAATAGGGAGTTTCTGTTTTGCAAGATGAAAAGAGTTCTGGAGATGGATGGTAGTGATGGTTGCCAACAATATGAATGGACTCAATGCTCTGAACTGTACACTTAAAAATAGTTAAGATGGTAAATTTTATGTTACGTGTATTTTAGCACAATTTGAAATTTTTTAAATGTCAAAAAATGCACATGAATATTCACAGCAGCTTTGTTTGGAACAGCCAAAAATTGGAGAAAAACTACCTATCCTACAATGATGAATGGTGGAACAAAAGGAAGAAACTATTGATGCATTCAACAACTTGGATGTACATCAATGGTATTATGCTAAGTGAAAAAAGCCAATCTCTCTATTCCATTTTTATAACATTCTCAAAATGACAGCATTTTAGATATAGAGAACATACTAGTGGTTGCCAAGGGTTAGGGATGGTTGGGGAAGACAGAAGAGGGAGAATGTGACTCTAAAGAGAAAGCACAAGGGATCTTTGTGATGATAGTTCTGTATCGTGATTGTGGTGGTTATAGAAATCTACACGTGATAAAAATTGTATAGAACTACACACCACCCCCAAGAATGCATGTAAACTGATAAAATCCAAATGAACTCTGTGAATTGTATCAATGTGTACAATGGTTTTGATACTGTATTATAGTTATACAGTTGACCCTTGAACAACATGGGTTTGGACTGCATGAGTCTGCTTATATGCAAATTTTTTTCCATAAATACTGCTGTACTACATGATATGTGATTGGTTAAATCCATGGATGCAACACTACGAATTCAGAGGGCCAACTATGGGACCTGATCACCCATGGATTTTGGTATCTGTGGAAGGTCCTGGAGCCAATCCTCTGTGGATACTGAGAGATGACTGTATAAGATGTCACGATTGGAAAAACTGGGTGAGGGGTGCATGGGACCTTTCTGTCCTATTTTTGCAGCTCCCTATAAGTCTGTAATTATTTCAAAATGAAAAGTTAGAAAAAACAAACAGACCAGAACTTGACTGCTTGGCCATGGGCCAGCAAGTTCCCTTGTGACCTGAGCTGTCCATCATGAAGTGGGTGCCATCTGACCCACCAAGCCATAAAGCTGGGCACACAGCAGCACGCCATCATCAAATGGAAGTGGTATATATGAAGCTGGGCTCAAGCAGATCCTGGAGGCACAAGAAATTGTATGATTTCCTCATGACCATGGCCTCTACTCTTGCGACATTATCTTCTCTCTCCAACCCCTACCTACAGCTTCACGGTAACCTCCCTCTGACCAGTTGCCTGAAGAGGAAAACTCTTGGGTTCTGCATGGTATGCAAGCATCACCTAAAAGGACACAGCTGCACAACATCTCACTTTGGGAAGGCTCTGCGGGACAGTGATGAAGGGAAATCCTCTCAGTGGGCAGAACTTTGAGCAGTGCACCTCGTTCATTTTGCCTGATCAGAAGCACAGAGCTATACTTTTTCATGCGCTGTGGCTAATGGCTTGGCTGCATGGTCAGGTACTTGAAAGGAGTATGATTAGAAAATTCAAGGAAGTATGACAAGGAGTCTGGGGAGAGGTGTGTCGACAGACTTCTCTAATTTGGCACAGAATGTTAAGATAATTATGTTCCATATGAATGCTTACCAAAGGGTGCCCTCCACAGAGGAGGATTTTAATGAGGTGGACAGAATAACCAACCTGTGAATGTCAGTCAGCCTCCTTCCACAGAAATGGACTCAAGAACAAAGCACTAGGGATGGAGGTTACGTTTGCGCTCAGCAACATGGACTTCCACTCACCAGGGCCAGTCGGGCTCCAGCCACTGCTTAGTGCCCAATATTCCAACAGCAGAGACCAACACTGAGCCCCCAATATGACACTACTTCCCGAGGATTAGCCAGCTATCTGGTTGCAGATTGATTACATCGGGCCAGTTCTATCATGGAAGGAACAGCACCTTGTTCTGACTGGAACAGACACTCTGGATATGGATTTGTCTTCACTGCCCGCAATGCTTCTCCCAAAACAACTATCCAGAGCTTTGCTGGAGTTGGGTATGAATAGCTTTTTCATTCTCCTATTTATTTCCCCCCCTCGGACCTTCACTGAGACCCTCTCCGTGCTCGTCTGTACCTCGCACTTCTGGTTGCGAAGAGTCCGCAGCATCAGCTCCGTTCCGAGGGAGGAGGATATCACCGGCTCGCGGTCCCGCCGCCCTGTAGATCCCGACGGTGCCGCCGGGTCCCTGGAGAGAACACCGTGAGCCAGCCCCGGCCACACCGGCAGCCAGCCCAAGCCCCGCCCCTGGGTCCTAACGCGAGGTCCCCCGCGGGGGCTGTCCGAGGCTGCGCCGTACTCATCCTACTTTGCTTCCCGTCCAGACAACCCCTCACTCGGGCCTGCGTTGCGGGGCGGCCCCCTGGCCTCGGAAGTTCAGTCTCGGGCCGAGGTCCGCGGCCGTTGGACGAGGAGCGGTCGCGGCAGGCGGTGGGAAGGCTGCCCGGACGGAGGCGCTCGTGGGTCTCCACCATGGCGGCGACGGTGCGCGGTGCGGGAATTCTCCCTGTGCTGTGTGGCGCGCCGGCGGGTGAGAGCCAGGACGCTGGGAGCAGGGGCTCTGAGCGGGGCGGGAGTGGGGGTTCGCCCAGGGCCTGCAGACACTCGGGTGGAAAGAAGCCGCAGCCCCGGCCTCGCACGCCCGGCTCTTGTCCCGCTGGGACCTGCTGTGTGACCTTGCGCGCGTCCGCATCCTCTCTGGGTCGCAGGGCCCGGGTCTGTAAATTGAGGGTGGACTGGACGCGGTACAGAGTCTCTTCCAGTTCACCAGGCCGCTCGTGCATGCTCGGTTAAAAGGGGCAGGGTAGTGGCAGGCGAGCATCGCCTTCCCCGCGGGCGTGATTCACAGGTTCATTTGGTGATGCTGATGTGGGGTTCGAGGTGGATGGCGGCCAGCGAAGCTCGAAAGGGAAATCGGCTGTCCTCCAGCTTGAGTCGGATAGGATTAGTGTCAGTTATTTTAGATTCCGGGCTGATCAGTGCCCTTTATTAAAAAGAAGGATGTTTGGAATGTTAGTAGCTTTGCTCTTATTGTCCTCCCCAACCCCTAGTTGGTTGTTTGCAGCCCGAGGAAAGGCAATATGCTACTCTCCAGCTTGATGTTTATCTCTAGGAACAACTTCGTAATTAATTTGACCTCTATTCGCTCTATTTTATTGTAAACCCACAATCCAGCATTCGTAATTCCGAAATCCAAAGATCTGTAAAAATCGAAAAGTTCTTTTTAGTAACTCATTTTGTTGGGAAACTTGACCTGCAATCGTTTGTAGGAAAATCTGACCTGAGCATTTTTTTACTTTTGTTTATGTTGTGACCACCTCCTCCTTTTCCAAAGCCCCGATCAAATAGCACTTAACATGTGTAGTTTTCTTTCATGAGCTCTTATGTGTAGCAGGGACTGTCTTAAACTCTTTATGCTTTTTTCCTTGCTTCATCTTCACAATGCCTTTATGAGATAGATGCCTTTATTATTCCCATTTTACAGATGAAGGAGTTAAGGCACACAGAGGTTGAGAAACTTGTTCAGAGTTAGACTGGGAGGATGTCAGGTTTTTGCACCCACACCACCTGGCTCCAGAGCCTCTTTCTTTCCTTCTTTGTGTTTTTTTTTTTTCTTTTTCTAGTGTATAAACTTTTTTTGGTAGTGGCTTTATTGGGATGTAATTTACATACCACAGGATTCATCTTCTTAAAATATACAGTTCAGTGGTTTTTAGTGTATTTACAGAGCTCTGCAACCATCACCACAGTCAATTTTAGAACATTTTCATCACCCCAAAAAGAAACCCTGTACTCTTTTAGCTAGCATCCCCCCAGACCTCCATTGCCCCCAGCCCTGGGCAACCACTAATCTACTTTTTTCTCTATAGTTTGCATGTTCTAGATATTTCATATAAATGGAATCAAGTAATATGTGATCTCTTGTGACTGGCTTCTTTCACTTAGCATAATGTTTTCCAGATTTGTCCATGTTGTAGCATAAATCAGTACTTAATTCCTTTTTATGGCTGAATAATCTGTTGTGTGTATATACCACATTTTGTTTATCTGTTGAGCATTTGGGTAGTTTGTACCTTTTGGCTATTATGCCTAATGTGGCTGTAAATGTTTGTGTGCAGTGTTTTTGTATGTACATATATTTTCATTTCTCATGTGTATACACCTTGGAGTGGAATTGCTGGATCAAATGGCGACTCCATGTTTCACTTTTTGAGGAACTGCTAGACTGTTGTCTACAGTAGCAGCACCTTTTTACATTCCCACCAGCATGAGGATTTTAATTTCTCCACATCCTTGTCAACACTTGTTCTTTTCTGTCTTTTTGACTGTAGTCATCCTAGTGGGTGTGAAGTGGTATCAATTTGTGGTTTTGATTTGCATTTCCCTGATGGCTAATGAACGTCTTTTTTTGTGCTTCTTGGCCATTTCTATATGTTCTTTGGAGAAATGTCTGTTCTAATCTATATCCATTTTTAAACTGGGCTGTCTTTTTATTAGTGAATTGTAAGAGTTCTTTATATTTTCTAGATACAAGTCCCTTGTCAGATAAGTGATTTGTAAAATTTTCTCCCCATCTGTGTGTTGTCTTTTCATTTTCTTGATAGTGTCCTTTGAAACACAAAAGTTTTAAATTTGGATAATGTCTGATTTACCTGTTTTTGGTTTTTGTTGCTTATGCTTTTAGTGTCATATCTAAGAAACCATTGCAAAATCCAAGGTCATAATTATTTACCCTTATGTTTTATTCTAAATGTTTTATAGTTTTTGCTCTTACCTTTAGGTCTTTGATCCATTTTGAGTTAAGTTTTATGTATGGTATAAGTAGGGCTCCAACTTCATTCTTTTTGCATGTGGATACTCAGTTGTCCCAGCATCATTTGTTGGAAAGATTATTCTTTCTCCACTGGTTTTTCTTGGCGCCCTTTTCAATACTTAGTGTCCAGTGAATGCTGTCAGAGCCTGTTCTGAAGTACTGTACTGTGTGAAGTGGTACACCGTATGGTTACAGCCTGGCGCTGCAGGGGCTCCTGGTGAAAGAGGGGAGCAGAGTGCTGTGGGCATTGGGGAGCCTTCACCGAGAGGTGGTGTTTCAGGCAAACCAGGAGAACCTGTCAGAGACACAGTAAAGGATTCAAGAGCTGAGTGTGTTCCATACTGACTGCGAGTCTGGTGTGGCCAGAGGGGGATGGAGAGGAGAGTGGTGGAGATGAGGCTGACGTGGAAGGTTGGGGCCAAGTCGCAGCCCTGTAGGTGATGCTGAGGAGTTTTGACTTTGTTCTGCAGACAGTAGGGAGCCAAAGAATGATATATCAGGGCTGTGTGGCGACTAGACTTGTAGTTTTAGAAAGGCCTGCCTGTTACCAAAGGGAAAAGGGGAGGGGGGTAAATTAGGAGTTTGAAATAAGCAAAAAAAAAAGAGAGAGAGAGAAGAGCCTGCTTGACGGCAGATGGTGAATTAGAGGGAGACTGGAGACCTGTTAGGAGACTGTCAACAGGAGACTGTCCTTACCACGTGGCTGAGGGATGGAGCTTGAACAAAGAGGGGCAGTGAGACTGTAGGAGGGTGTGTAGCTGAGAGGTGGATTGATTTTTGAGGAGAATCTCTAGGGCTTGGTAACAGGTCAGATGTGAGAGTGAAGGAGCCGATGTGATGTGATTTCATTTACTTGGGCAAGTGGTCATGGAGCCCAGAAATTACTCATTTACTTGTCTTGGTTCTTTTATTCTATAGATAATACTATTCTTTAGGTGTTAAAAAATGTTCCTTTTCATGTAGAAATGGATCTTAATTTTTTTTTTTAATTTATAGGTCATCTATGGTCCAGGCAGCTTTACCTAAACAGCTTTCCAACAGCTTCCATTTTGGCATTGAAGACTGTTCCCAGCAATGGTGAGATTTATTTATCTAACTACCTTTTCTTATAAGAGCTAGTGTTAAGAGTACTTTATGTAGTTTTTTTAAAATGTAGAGGAATGAAGTACATTCTTTGTAATAGAAATGGATAAGGTCTAAAGAGTATTTTTCAAATTTTTAATGATTACAGCTGTTATAATTCAAGGCTTTAAAAAATAATAGCCATGATTTATTGAGTAATGACTGTGTCAGGTTAATAGTATGTTATCTTGGTTAATCCTCACCCCAGTTTTTATGAGGAGTTGTTATTCCCATTTTACAGATGCTGAAGTGAGTCTCTGAGAGGCTAAGTGACTTGCTTTAAGGTCACACAGCCAGTAATGGCAGGACTGGGTCCTGAGCTGTCTTGGATACTGTGATGTGTTCTGGAAACACAGTGTTTGTAGAAGGGGTGGGGAGAGTGCTGACTGGTGGAATGACCGCACAGTTCTCGGCTCCTCCACTTTCTGCCTGTGCGACGATGAACTAATGACACCCCTTGGACCCTCAGTTTCCTCTTCTATAAAATGAGGATGGTAGTTCCTACTTTAAAGATTGTTATCTTGAAACATTGTACTTCGGAAGAGTACTAAAAGGTTTATATCTTAAAACCACTTCCCTTTTCTAGGCCTTCTCATCTTCCAGTGACACTTTAACTTCCATCTGGTTATATTTCTAAACAGATAGTGTATATACTTGTTCTTTTCTCTGTTAATGTCGTTATGCTAATTGAAGATTTCATTAGGCACCGTCCCTGCTTTTCCTGAGCATAGCTGTAAGCGCAGTTTTGGTCGAATCTGTAGGCAGTTACGTATATGTTCTTCACAGCCGAGCTAGGTAGTACGGTTGACCCTGTACAACCAGAACGGGTTTGAACTGCACGGGTCCAATTATATGTGGCTTTTTTTCAAGAAATAAGTACTACAGTACCATGCAGTTTGAGGTTGGTTGAATCCAAGGATGTGGAATCGCAGATAGGGAAGGACAACTATATGTTATACGTGGATTTTTAACTGGCGGGGGGGTCAGTGCCCATCACCCTTACGCTGTTTAAGGGTCAGCTGTATTCTCTTATTATGTTTCCTTTCTCCTACAACATTTTCTTTTCCCTAGAGTTAGTAATTGCCTTGTTTTTAAAAAATTGCTTTGTATTCTTTGTACCTATTGCAGTATTTTCCTAAAGGCTGCAACAGTTTGGTCAGAAATAGCAATAAGGGCTTCCCTGGTGGCACAGTGGTTGAGAGTCCGCCTGCCGATGCAGGGGACACGGGTTTGTGCCCCGGTCCGGGAAGATCCTACATGCCGCGGAGTGGCTGGGCCCGTGAGCCATGGCCGCTGAGCCTGCACGTCCGGAGCCTGTGCTCCGCAAGGGGAGAGGGGCCACAACAGTGAGAGGCCCGCATACCGCAAAAAAAAAAAAAGAAAAAAGAAAAAAAAAAAAAGAAATAGCAATAATTTTTCTAAAATCCCTGAAACACATCACTAATTAACCAGTTTGATTTAATAGAAGAGATTTAAATTAGAAGGAAGAAATTCTTCATGGTGAAAACAGTTAAACACTGAAGTGAAACCTTCAAGGGCAGACTCTGTCTTTGAAGAAGTCCACCCAGGGGAGCTTCCTGGGCTTGCCCTCTGTGGACTCCATGCTATTCCTGAGATGAAGACTTCATGGTCTGAAATTAATAAGCATTCAGGGGATCAGAGCAGAATTGTTAATTGATCGTTGGTGGATGATAATCTGTAATTGGACTTCAAATGTGATTTAGCATGAGCTGCTGCCACCTCCTGTTTTAAAAAGCACAATGCAATTTGAGCAAACTCAGTTGCAGCAACAGTACATTGAAAGAGATTATTTCTGAATTCTGAAGTTGATTTCTTTTTACTTTTGACAGTTGGACCTTTGTAAGCTAACTACATTATTATTTGTGAATAGTATTTTGGTCTTTAGAAAAAGATTAAAGAATTCTAAATTTGATGGTAGTGATTTTTACACTCTTAAAGTATGTCAAGGATTGTAGTTCTAAACTACAAGAATAAATTCATGTGCACTTGATATTTTGTTGAAGCTTGAGAAGGTTACAAGAAAAACTAAAATGTGTCCAACATAATGGGATTTAGAATGATTATTGAAGATCTGAATTTATTTAAAATGAAAAGCCAGTATTTTCTATTTACTTTTAATTGAGTAATTTACAAAGTAAGCTAATAGGTCCAGAGAGACCTCACTATGTCATCTGAGCCAGCCTCCAGAAGTTTTATTTTTTAAAGAAAGACTGTCCTCAAAATATGATTCTTAGGGCTTCCCTGGTGGCACAGTGGTTGAGAGTCCGCCTGCCGATGCAGGGGACACGGGTTCGTGCCCTGGTCCGGGAAGATCCCACATGCCGCGGAGCGGCTAGGCCCGTGAGCCATGGCCGCTGGGCCTGTGCGTCCGGAGCCTGTGCTCCGCAACGGGAGAGGACACAACAGTGAGAGGCCATGTACCCCAAAAAAAAAAAAAGATTCTTAAAAGTTCAGGATTTTAGTGACTTATTTTTATTAGTAACAGTTAATTTTTTGGTGCTGGCAGTGTTTCTCCATAGGTGTGGAGCATCTAACAAAGTTTTATTCCATCTACCTGCAGGCTCTTTGTCATCTCCAGGAACCAGAGACAACCGTCATTTTATCAGCTTGACCCGTGCGCTACAGACACAGTGCTGTATTTCTTCTCCCAGTAACTTGATGGGCCAACAGTATAGATTCTATAGTTTCTTCACTAAATGTACGTAGACTGGCCACAAACTTCCCATTTCATGAAACAGGAAAATAAAAGGTGGATTTTTATCTTAATTTTTCCTCTTTTTCTTTTTCCTCCTTAAATGAATTAACACTTCAGAGATTAATGTATGATGTGCAGGCACGCCTCACTTTATTGCACTTCACTGTATTGTGCTTGGTGGATATTGCGTTTTTGACATATTTAAGGTCTGTGGCAACCTGTGTTGAACAAGTCTATCTGCACCATTTTTTCCAACAGCATTTGTGTGTCGTCTCTGTGTCCTATTTTGGTAATTCTTGCAATATCTCAGACTTTTTAGTTATTATTATATTTGATATGGTGATATGTGATCAGCGGTCTTTGATGTTGCTACTAAGACTGGCTGAAGATTAACATTTTTTAGCAGTAGAGTATTTTTTATTTTATTTTTTTTGAATATTTTTTAAATTAAAGTATATATATTGTTGTTTTAGACGTAATGCTATTGCATGCTTAAGACTTCAGTACAGTATAAACATAACTTTTATAGGCACTGGGAAACCAAAAAATTTGTGTGACTCACTTTATTGTGACATTTGCTTCGTCACAGTGGTCTGGAACCAAACCCACAATATCTCCAAGGTACGCCTGTGCTATTCAAATAAAAATGTTCTTCCATGTACCTCCTAGAATTATCTTACATGCTACCAGTTGTACTATACACACTTTTGGGAGTACTAGTTTACTTTAATCCCCTCATTTGGGGCACCTGAGGTCTAAAGGACCTGTGGAATCCCTGGAATTCCAGGATGGAATTGTGGCCCAAATCCCTGCTGATTTAGATTCACACCAAGAATATACTCAAAATCTGTTTTCAGTTGCACTTTAGTTGAGGACATAGGACTAATCAGGAAAAGTCAATTTTAAGTAGATGTTGTTTTACTATTACTCCTATCTGAGATAGTATTTGAGAGTCCAGTCTGAACTGAAATTAGCTTGTAAGAAATGGAGATTGAATCCACAATTCAGCATTAGGCAAATTAAAAGAAATTAGGATTATAAAGCCAATTCATTTTAGACTACTTGGTAAATACAGAATCAAAAAGCAAAAAATCACTTGTAATCCTACTACCCTGAAATCCTGGATTTGCCGCTTTTTTCATACAGCAGCACACTATACATTTTCCCATGACAGTACATGGGCTTCTCCAGTGCAGTGTCATAACTGTAGAATATTTCATTGTGTGCGTACAGATCACTTTAATTTGGATTAAATTAAATAATGACCTACTAGGTCATTTGTGTAGCTATGCAGAAAAGAGGACCAGATGATGGGGAATTGCAAGTAACACAGTCTTCCTTGTATCAGAGGATTTTGTTGTAAAGAGAAAAGAGAGGTGGGTAGAGTTGGAGCCATGAGGCTCTTGGTGCCCCCAGCCCCAGCGTTTTCTGAGAGCTGACTTTGTGCTTTGATGGTGGTGGTTGTGGGGTGTTGGGCGGGTATATATCAGACTTACAGCCCCAGTGTTTTCTAAGAGCTGACTTTGTGCTTTGATGGTGGTGGTTGGGGGGTGTTGGGCGGGTGTATATCAGACTTACAGGCCTTTTTAAAAATAGTCTTTTCCCTGCCCTGAAAGGCCTTTTCTCTAACTCTTCTTGTTCTAGAGGTGCCCCTTGCCCTCTGAGACCACTCACACCTGCCTCTGACTCTCCATTAGCCTCCCTTCTTCCTCAGTCATAGGACTCTGTACCCTTATGAGTTTATTGCTCCCAAGTCAGGGCGGGGTGGGGGTGAACTCAGTTGAAACCAGCATGGGGCTAGTTTTTGCTGTTTTAATAGGAAATAGTCTTTGACTTTCTAAATCTCTTCCAAGAAATAAAAAAAAACATAACTTTTTCAAAACTCATTAAGATTTCCTAAAAATGTTTAACATTGTATTTGTAAATCTATCCCTCTGCCATAGAGGGTCCACCATTAAATGGTGGAGTCTTTTAAATCTTCGTCTTAATATTGTTTCTTTTAAAATTGAATCCCTTTTAGTCTTAATGAGTGATTTGCTTATTCTGATTCTAAGAGAAACTGTAATTGATTGACCTCCTTATGCCTCCATTAAAAGTGCTCTGACTGTGAACTTTCAAGTTTTTGATGGCATTTATAGATACCATCATTTTTAAGCAATTAGGAAAGAAAATCAGTCTGTAGTGAGAGTTTAGTTTGAGGTTGGTAATTTTATTTCAAACCTGTGGTTCTTTTAAAAGAATCAGTGTCAGCCTAAAGTTTGAAGTTAACCCTTTGCTTTGATCAGGGATACACAAAGCAGCATGTGATGTGGCAGCTTACTTACTTTTGTGAGCTTCAGTTATGCAGATCATCTGTAATAATACATCTGTATTTTTAAAAACAGGGTACTGTATAGCTATAAAGCATTAAAAAATATTATAAATCCAAAGCATCTTTCCCTTTTCATGTTACCTACCCAAAGGATCAAGGTGTAAGGCCTTTCAGGAGGCTAGCAGGTAGAACTTTCATTTTTATTATTTTTAAAAATTTTTATTGGAGTATAGTTGCTTTACAATGTTGTGTTAGTTTCTACTGTACAGCAGAATGAATCGCCTCTATGTATAATATATATCCCCTCTTTTTGGGATTTCCTTCCTATATAGGTCCCCACAGAGCATTGATAGAGTTCCCTGAGCTGTACAGTAGGTTCTCATTAGTTATCTGTTTTATGCATAGTATCAATAGTGTGTATATAGTGTATATATGTCAATCCCAATCTCCCAATTCATCCCACCCACCCCCTCTTACCCCCTTGGTATGGTAGAACTTTTAAAGCTTAAGGACTCAGAAGAGGAGAATGAAGATACTCATTTGAGTTCTAGAATATGTTTAGTATTTCAGGCATGTAGATAGATGTATCTTAGATTTTTGACTAGTACAACATTTGTATGGCTCTGATTCTTTATTAAATTGGTAATGGAACAATCTGTGGTCATAAAATCAATTGGTGATACTGTGAAAGGTAGAAGTCCTTGTGAAGACAATTCAAATCTAATAAACAACATAGCTAGCTAAACAACATAGACCAATAAAATTCAGAAGCGGTCAAAAGTAAAGAATCTGAATATTCCACAAGTACAAAGGGGAAAATACTGCTTGCAATTTATGATAGAGAAAGATCTGGGGACCCTGGAAATTCACAAATGGAAATAAATCAGCAGTGTCAGGGTCTATATATAAAGAAAAAGACAACAACAGTGATTTAAGAAATACACACATACACATGCAGGTATTAACCATCAGACCTCTACATACTCATTCTTTTGCAAGTATTGGTTAGGCTATAGTCAGAGTTGAAGGTGAATTTGGGCATCTCATTTTGAAGGATATACAGAGATGTTTAGGGCATTTACAGAATAGAGCAAACAATCCAAATTATTAAGATTTTTGGGTTCAAATTGCAGTGTTGGTACTTTGGGCTAAGAGATCTGTATTTTGGAAGTCTAGTTACTGATTATCTCAATAGTTATAATGGAGGCAAGAGGGCAGGGAAGAGACCGGTCACACAGTTGTTAAAATGTCTGGGAGACAAATCTACTGGAAAGTAACAGGGATTGAAATATGGTTGTCTTTTGTGGGGGAAGGCCATATTCTGTAAAAGGAGTAGAATCGCTTCCTCTTGGGCTTTCCAAATGTAACCATGTGATGTGTACAAAGAATGTTTCAATTTTGCTTTCATTGCCGTAATGATATGTGACCCGACTTCTTCCAGCTCTTTGTATTCAACAGGAATAAATCAATAGACCGTAGATCATTTCTTGAAGAAATTTTTTAAAACCTATTTCTTTATAGTGACAGCAGATGAGCTGTGGAAAGGTGCCTTAGCAGAGTCTGGTGCCGGAACAAGAAAAGGAAGAGGCAAAAGAACTAAGAAAAAGAAAAGAAAAGATTTGAACAGGGGTCAGATCATCGGTGAAGGTAAACTTATTTATAAAAACAGCTAATGTGCTTTCTAAGATTTTTTCTCCAAAATTTTATAGATATTTTACAAACTAGAAGCATAAAACATTTCTCATGAAGGGTATTAGGTTCTGTGATTTTAGGGTCCAGCCAAATGACTTATTGCCCCATGATTCAGGGAAAGGAAAATCCCATAGAAAGGGATTCATTCATTTAGTTATTCATTCAACAAGCCTTAAATGCCCTTGTGTGGCATCTGCTGCAAAAGTCCCTATCCTCAACGAACTTACGATTCAGAGGTAGAAGGTGGAATAACTGGAGAACTGGCTTAACTTTCTCTCTGAAGGGCCAGGTAGTAAATACTTTTTTAGCCTTATGGGCCACATGGTCTCTGTTCCAACTATTCAACTCTGCTGTTGTAGCACAAGAACAGTCACAGACAATACATAACCAAATGGGCATACCTGTGTTCCAATAAAACTTGATTTACAAAAATAAGTGGTGGGCTAGGGCTTCCCTGGTGGGGCAGTGGTTAAGAATCCGCCTGCCAATGCAGGGAACACAGGTTTGAGCCCTGGTCTGGGAAGATCCCACATGCTGCGGAGCAGCTAAGCCCGTGCGCCACAACTACTGAGCCTGCGCTCTAGAGCCTGCGAGCCATAACTACTGCAGCCTGCGCGCCTAGAGCCCGTGCTCCGCGACAAGAGTAGGCACTGGAATAAGGAGCCCACGCACCGCAACGAAGAGTAGCCCCTGCTCGCCACAACTAGAGGAAGCCCGCACGCAGCAACAAAGACCTAACACAGCCAAAAATAAATAAATAAATAAATAAATTTATTAAAAATAAAAAAAAGTGGTGGAGTAGATTTGGATTGTGGGCCTTACTTTGCCAACTTCTGGAACACATGATTGTTTATACTTGTGTTTTTTAAAGAATAAAAATAGTATACTTGAATCAACATTCTTTACTGTGGTTGCTGACAAATTATCTTTGATAGTAATAGCCTTTTGGATGTAAAGAAAACACCTTTCACTGCACTTGTAGCTGTTGCATGTCTACTTGGATGTTTTTCTCCATGACTTACCTTATATCTTATTTATTTATTTATTTTTTTAACATTTTAAACAATCATATATGTATACTTTCTCAATAAAAAAAATTTCTCAATAAAAAAAAATAGAGAAACCTAAAGTCCCCCTTGATGCCTTTTTTATCTCCCCCAATCCCAGTTGCCTCCCCTAAGGGAACCACTGATTTCATTTTGATGTGTTTCCTTCTGACATTTTCTAATGCTTTTATATATATAAATACCCTAAAAAGAGTATATATTTTCTTTTAAAAATAATTAGATTATGTCATATGGTACATATTGTCTTATTTGCTTTTTTTGACTCAATAATAGGTCTTGGAAATGGTTCTATATCAGAACCTATAGTGCTAACTTATTCTTTGAATTTAGTATAGAGTATTTCATAGGTTGGATATGCCGTAGTTCATTTTACTGTTCCAATATTGCTGGACATTTAGATTGTTTCTGTTTTTTGCCTTTACAAATAACACTTCAGTGGACATCCTTGTCCAAGCCCACATATGCCTCATACCTGCATGGGAGTGTTTTTCTAGGCAATACCAGTAAGTAGAATTACTAGCTGTTAACGGTAGGTATGTTTAAAATTTTAATGAACAATTCCAAGTGGCCTGTAGAGTGATTATGTTAGCTTAAGCTCCCACCAGCGGTATCTTTATCTGTATACACATTGCCTGGCATTTTAATACTCAAGAAATGAATGCTTTTAAAAAATCCTTATTTATGTATGTTTTTAAACCTTCAGGGCGTTATGGCTTCCTATGGCCTGGTCTGAATGTCCCTCTTATGAGAAATGGAGCTGTGCAGACCATTGCCCAAAGAAGCAAGGAAGAGCAGGAGAAGGTAGAGGCGGATATGGTCCGGCAGAGAGAAGAGTGGGACTGGAAGAGGAAGATGAAGGTTAAACGGGAGCGAGGATGGAGCGGAAACACATGGGGAGGCGTCAGTCTTGGCCCCCCTGACCCTGGTCCCAATGGAGGTAGCAGAGTCCTGGTTTTGCTTACATTGTGACAGAGAAAGCACTCCTATTTCTGGAATTCTTTGATACGATTTTATTTACTCGTCTCTTTAGATTGCCTTCTTCCTAAAATGGATCTGAGCATCATTGAAATAACTTCACATTATTACCCAAATGTATTTTATGGAGCACTAGAGGCCTATAAGCCAAGAAGTATTCCACAAATAGGGGGCAAAGCACTGGGTTCTGGTGTGTTTATTGTGTGGCTTCTCAGAGCATTTGAACTTCGTGGTGTGCATATGGCTCTATATAAGTCATCTGTGAGATGCAGTTTCCCAAATGCTATTGGTCATTGGGTGTGGAGCAGCATGGCTTGGGAGTGCTATTTTGATAACAGAAGAAACCAAATAGTTGTCATTAAGCCGCATTAAAGTACACATGAAATAAAAGTTGATAATATTTATCAGAGTAAATTAGAAAACAAAGTCATCTCCCCGCTGCTTCCTGAGTACGTAAAGAAGTAAAAATCATCTGAAATATTCATTCTTGTCAATGAATAGGAGATGAAGAAATAGACAAGGGTTGCGCTGCTTTCTGTAGTTTGGCTCAAAGAGGAGACGGGAAGTTGAGGTGGAGAGCCTCAGGCCAGCATGCTTAGGACTGAGCAGAATGCTTCCACTGGGAGAATGAAGATATATATGGGAGGGAGAGAAAAAAACCCATGAACTTAAGTCCCTAGGGAGGGCCCAGATTTAGAGTGTAGATAAATGGACGAACTTGTGATGGAAGAAAGGGCAGGGGACAGAGCCAGGTAAGCTGTGTTGTTGGTAGTGGAAGGAGGGGGTGGGGCCTGTGTGAATGCTGTTTCTCTGGAGCCTTCAGTTAGTCTGTGAGGAGGAGATGGGCATGGATGAGCATGGCCACCAGAATATTTTGATGAAAAGGTAGGGTATCTGGGACGGGCCTCAGAATTATCCAGTGGAGTGGGACTTGGACAGAGTTTAGAGGAAAGAAGATTGGCTGTGAGTTGATAACCGTTGAAGCTAGCTAATGGTACATAAGCTCACGTTTTACTGTTTTGGGGGGTGTTTTTTTGCCTATGAATGTAAATTTTCTATAGTAAAAAGTCATTAAAAATAAAAGAACACAGAGAGTGTTTGAAATGGCTGCTGTGGTGAGAGGAGAGAGACCTAACTAAAAGGATGTAAAAGGCCAGCAGGCAGCAGGGAGGACTTGACTGAGTTGGAGACCATGAGTCTTTAGTGGCCCAAGTGTGTCCCATGCTTTGACTTCTCTACAGCAGCACCTGGCAGGTCAGGTGTGCCCAGACAGCTGCATTGATTCCATCCTGGATAGTGTGGTGGAGAGGGGAAGAGGTGAGGGAGTTGAGGATATTCACAAGACCTGGTGGAAGTGTTGGACTGTGGTGTCTTGACTGAGTGGGAGAGACTGGAAGACCAGAGGGGTGATGGGGAAGGGGAACAGTGGTCAAGAGTCTGGAGGTGCTGGGAAGCCCCAAGGACCATCACCTTTCAGTCACTGAGTGAGAGCTGGAGAGGTGGGAGGATGCAGTCAGGGAGATAGTGGTTGAGTTTATGAATTTAGTGGTAGAACAGTTTCTGGTGATGATGGAGGACCAGGGTGTTGCTTTGATAGTGGCACCAAAATATCTGAGATTCTTTCTTAGTTAAAAGTCAGTGATGGGGCTTCCCTGGTGGCGCAGTGGTTGAGAGTCCGCCTGCCGATGCAGGGGACACGGGTTCGTGCCCCGCTCCGGGAAGATCCCACATGCCGCGAAGCGGCTGGGCTCGTGAGCCATGGCCGCTGAGCCTGCGCATCCGGAGCCTGTGCTCTGCAACGGGAGAGGCCACAGCAGTGAGAGGCCCGCATACCACAAAACAAAGAAAAAAACAAAAAAAACTTTCATACACTAATTATATAGACACACTTATCTGTATACCTGTTTCTTTTCTCCCTACAGAAACATATGATGATTTCGATACCAGAGTACTTGAGGTGGGCATGCTGAATTAAATACCCAGTTAAGCCTTCGGAGAAGTTGGGATGGATGGAGTGGGGTGGGTGGAGAGGGTAAGAGGAACAGTGAGGAAAAGCCTTTGATGCATGACTTTTTCTGAGCTACAGAGCTGCTTTGGGTAAGGAAATAATGAAACTTTAATTTCAGTTACTTGATCATATTGGCTTTTCTGACTGCTGCCCTTTTGGGGGGCCACCCATTAAGGTCTCAAGACAAAGCAACTTCAGTGGTATTGTTGGTAACAGAATTTGGAGATTGCATTTAAATTTCCTCCTTCTTAAAGCAAAGGTTGCAGTAGCAATTTCTCCTTTAATTTGGTGTATCTGACGCTCAGTTCAGTGGGCAGAGATTGAGGGGAGCCATGGGGAAGGGTAGAAAGCTTGGAGTTACTGTGTATGTCCAGCTCTTGGTGGGGAAATGATCTGCTGGGCTGCTTGTAGGCCCTTGAAACTGAAGCCTGTATCAGGTAAATTGCAATCACTCTTTCCGGGGTGTTTCCTAAAATAGTCAGCTTCCCTTTGAGCTAGTGCTGCACCCTTAGTGTTAAATGCCATATGCAATAATCATGTATTGAGTTTGTGATTGAATGTGTATATCGTTTCTTCAGTATCAGTTGCATTACAGAGTTTAAGATATATTTACAAGTATTTTAAGTCTTTGGGTCCTAGCTTACACCCTTTTGAAATTAATTCCTTTGAAGAACTCTTGTCTGTCTGGGTGATTTCCTGTAGAATTATCCACAGGAGTGGGCTTGAGCCCCCTTTTCTTACCTTATGGGAAAGGGGCTGCCATGTAAGCAGTTTAGTTAACGTTTCATAGTTCTTGGTAAATTTATAAATATGCCCAAAAAATGCAGATTTTCTTGTAGTTCATAATAAGCAGGTATTTCCAAATTTTCTATTTTCAGTTGAGCCTAACCCATAGAGATCCAGTCCTGTGCTAATTATTTCTATACACTGCATTTTATCATTTCTAAGATGCACATTTTTTCATATTTTAACATCTGTGATATTGGGATGTGACTGATTGATTGATTGATTTTTGGCTGCTCCCCACAGCTGGTTATATCTTAGTCCCCCGACCGGGGATGGAACCCAGGCCCCAGCAGTGAGAGCGCCAAGTCCTAACCACTGGACCTCCAGGGAATTCGAAGGATGTGCTTTTATAATCAGTTAGTTACAAACTATGTCAGAGTTTAATCGGCAACTTTTTATCTTTCTTGTGGTGCGTTCATTAAAATAGGGTGCATTGAGTTTTACAGTTTCAAATCCTTTAAAAGGTTTCTCAGTCAGACTTTCTAACAAGCCTGTGAAATAAGAAGAGAAAGCCTTACTTCCGTTTTACTCCTGAAGAAACAGTCCAGATGGAGGTTTCCCATTGGAGAAAGTGTGCTGTTGGTGCTCGTGGGATTGAGGGATGATGTGTGTATTCACCACGTGTGCCTGTGTGTGTGTGAGGAGGTCACTCCAGTTCCCTACTTCAGAATTTTCTTAAGGTGTAACATTTGTGAAACATTTTCTTTTAGGTGAGGAGTGTTTTCAACATGACAGCAAAAGAGGGAAGAAAGAGATCAGTCCGTGTCCTGGTCGCTGTGGGGAATGGCAGAGGAGCTGCAGGTGAATGGGGCTGTGATCATATACGGAGAGCTGGTGGTGGAGGGACAGCTGTGGCCTGGGCTCAGCCGTGGAGTCAGTGGGTTCAGGCTTTTTTGACTAATTAAATCTTTCAGCGGCTTGGGCTCACAAACCTTGTGGTAAACCCATATAATCCCTTAGAGTCAAAAGAAGGATCTTCCTACATCTGCCTTTTTCCATGAAGACAATTAATATTTTAAAAGGCTTAAGACACTATTGTTTATGTATAATAGTGAAAAACAAGGGGGGTGGACACTAAATGTTCCACAGTAGGGACACAGTTACAAGAAGAGTATAGCTATACATTGTAATAGTCTATAGCCATTAAAGAATTATGGAAAATTACTTACAGAATAATGGTAAGTCAAATGAACAGACAAACAAAAACCCACTTCATATAGAACTGTATAATATAATCCCAGTTTTTTAAAAGTATGTTTATATGCAAAGAAAAGACTGGAAGGATGTACACTGAAAAGATTAAAAATGTTTAATTAGTATGTTTGCCAATCATTTAAATTTCTTCTTGATACTTTTCTCTAAAGTTTCCATAGTGAACATCTGTTTTTGAAATGTATACATGAATACATTTCAAAAGGGAAAGAAAAGTGGAAAGAAAAATGGAAAACTGCCTATTTAAATCCATACTGACACTTTCAAAACAATTAATACCTGTAGATAGTATGTTGCCAAAGGAAACCACTCTTAACAGTTACTTTTATATCTTTTCAGAAATTCTTTGTTCATATATCACCATATATCTTTTTTAAAAAAATTATACAAAGGGTCATATTATATCCATAATTTTATAGCTTGTTTTTCTTGCTTAGTATTATACCCAGAGATTTATATATTAGCATAAATGGATTCCCCCTCATTTTTTTGTATTGATTGCATCGTGTTCCAGTGTATGGATAGCGTAATTTTTGTAACCTTTTTCCTATTGCTGAATATTTATGTTGTTTATACTTGTTTTTTTTTTTTTTTTTTTACTATTTTTAAAAACAGTGAGCTTCTTGTACATGTCATATGTTGTACTTTTGCAAGCATATCGATGGGGGAAATTTCTTGCAGTGAAATTGCCTCTAAGTTACATGCATTTGAAATGTTGATGAGTGTTGCCGGATTGCCCTCCCAAAAGGCTGCATCCGTTTATGTTTATCTGCACCGTCACACCCTTGCCAGGCCTGGATAGAGTCAGACTTTACTGGCTGTAAGTAAGTGACGATATGAAACATAACGCTTAGTTTTGATCTGTATTTCTTTAGTTATGAGAGTTAGGACAGCATTTGGCATGTCTGTTGGCCACTATAATTTCCTTTTTGAGATCTGTTAGTTCATGTGTCTCACCCGCTTTCTGTCGGGTGATTATTCTCCTCAATGATTTTCCTCTTTGTATGTTAAGGACATTAGCCCTTTATCTATCATATATTTTGACTTAGTTTTAAATTTTTTCCACATGAAAGTTTTTAAATCACAGAAGCTTTATACCTTTCTATAGCAAGTAAGTTCACCCATATATTCCTCAAGGACTCATATGGTTTAATTTTTTTTAAACTAGTAATTGTAATCCACAGCCCCTTTTGCCCCAGCTTCTCAGATGTCTTGCATATCTCGTGGAACAGTACTGTCTTATGTTACTTTTCTGTGTATAATTTAAAAACAAAATACATTCTTCAAAATAAATAATGGTGATAGCAAATAATGCAAACATTTTCTTAACTTGCGGTAAACCTCATTTCACAGGATTAAGCATTTACAAACTCAGGAATCATTGATTTTTATTTCTGTGTATGTCTAGCAGTGTATGTTTTTTTCCCAGCTGTTCTGGTTATTTTAATCTGTTTTCAGAATTTGTGAAAACCATTTACCTTATTAATTTAGCATGGTTAGGGGTTTTTTGGGTTTTTCATTTGTTTTTTTATTCAGTGTAGTTTTATCTAGAAATTTATAAAAGGTAATGTTATGCATCTAACCTTGAATTTCACAGGTACGTTCAAATGTAATGTTTCCAAAATGCCCCAAAACAAAGAAGCAAATCTCTGTAGCCTCGTGCTCTGTCATTTGTTTTGGATAGCGGGTTTTCTGTGGGCAGAAGAAAGATGAACTACTGTGAAATGTTGTAGGAACTGAAACCTGAAATGTGGTAAAAGGCATTATGTGCCAAATTTATGCCCCTTTTCATATTTATGCTTTTTCTTTTAAAGGTTTTGCCATTGGGAAAGCCACTGAACGGGCAGATGCTTTCAGAAAAGTATGTACATTTTCCCTTTGTTAACAGTAAAAGACCAATAAGCTGTGTGCTAGACATTGTGGGAACCACAAAAAAATACTTACTGTCAAAGGTTACTTACCTCAGAAAAAGCAATTTCAGAAGTGCCTGTATTCTTGCATCATTTCTATCAGACTTGTAATTGCTTACCAAAATTACGAGACAACAGGGAATGTTTGAACACTGTCAGAGATATTAAGGAATTGTTTTGGGTTTGTTTTCTGGTGTGATAGTGATGTTATACTTACGTTTTTTTTTTTTTTAATTAAATCCTTAGCTTTTAGAAGTATATACTGAAATTTTTGTGTAAATTTGACATTTTCCATAATAAAATATTTTATAAAAGGTATTTTTTGAAATCCCTGAAGAAATGTAAATTCTAACAGTAGATTTAAGAAAAACATTTTCCTTCTTTCTTTCAGGCAAAGAACAAGGCAGTTCACAATTTGCATTATATAGAACGATATGAAGACCATACAAGTGAGTTTTAATCTTTTCTTTTAAACTTTGCAGGATTATATTTGTTTTATTTATGTGTGGCTGTATATCTCTGTGGGTGTTTCTGTGTTTCCCTGCTTGTTACTGCATTCTTACACATAAATATATAAAATGTAGAAACAAACTTTCTCTCCTGAGAAGATTAGTAATGAGTGAAATCGGAGTTTGTTACTCATCCTTGGCCAACATGTGGTGGCTGCTCAGGGTAGTATTGGTTGCTTTGTGATATTTGCAAGGGCATTAAATCTATATCCCTAACCCTTCTTATATTTATGTTTTTACCCTCCAGTATACCATGATATTTCTTTAAGATTTAAAAGGACGCATATCAAGATGAAGAAACAAACCAGAGGTAACTAAAAAAACTCATAATTTGTTGAAGATAAAGCAGAGAAACTGTACCAATTTCATCCTGCCCTCTATTTTTGCTCACCTTTACCTGAACTCATTTTGAAAACACCAAAATGTAAAGGCCCAAGTTAGATTTAAGAAGATTGAGGCTTTTGGGGAAATAAAAAGCAGTCATTCTACCCAGGCTTTCATGATTAAAACACTTCCAGGGGTGACTGTAGGTGGGAAGAGCACTTAATGAATAAGAAACAATAACTGGGGCTTCTCTGGTGACGCAGTGGTTGAGACTCCACCTGCCGATGCAGGGGACACGGGTTCGTGCCCCAGTCCAGGAAGATCCCACATGCCGCGGAGCGGCTGGGCCCGTGAGCCATGGCCGCTGAGCCTGCGCGTCCAGAGCCTGTGCTCCGCAACGGGAGAGGCCACAACACTGAGAGGCCCGTGTCTGAAAAAAAAAAAAAAAAGTAACTGAGTGAGTGAATAGTTGGATTTGTAGTGGGAACATTGGCTACTCCTAGACAATTCATTGATGCTACTAGCTGGTTCTTTTTTTTTTTTAATTTTTTAAATTTATTTATTTATGGCTGTGTTGGGTCTTTGTTGCTGTGCGTGGGCTTTCTCTAGTTGCAGCGAGCTGGGGGCTACTCTTGGTTGTGGTGGCTTCTCTTGTTGCGGAGCACGGGCTCTAGGCGCGTGGGCTTCAGTAGTTGTGGCGCACGGGCTTAGTTGCTCTGTGGCATGTGGGATCTTCCCAGACCGGGGATTGAACCCATTTCCCCTGCATTGGCAGGTGGATTCTTTTTTTTTTAAATAAATTTGTTTATTTTGGCTGCGTTTGGTCTTAGTTGCTGCACACAGGCTTTCTTTAGTTGCGGGGAGCAGGGGCTACTCTTCGTTGCGGTGTGCGGGCTTCTCATTGCAGTGGCTTCTGTTGTTGCAGAGCACGGGCTCTAGGCGCACGGGCTTCAGTAGTAGTGGCACGCAGGCTCAGTAGTTGTGGCTCACAGGCTTAGTTGCTCCACAGCATGTGGGATCTTCCCGGACCAGGGATCGAACCCGCGTACCCTGCATTGGCAGGCGGATTCTCAACAACTGTGCCACCAGGGAAGTCCCAGATGGTTCTTTTCTTACAGCTTGTTCAGTTCCACTCATTTATTCTCATCACCAAGTATTGACTGAACATCTTCTGTGAACCAGGTGCTACACTGAGCTCTGAGGTTTCAGAGATGGACCTTCTTCCTGTCTTGGAAAGAGCAAGCAGGCAGAGCTCAGGGTCGTGGAGCTATGCCAGTCATGCCCAATGGTCTCGAGGTGTAGAATTCTTGAACATTCTGATTTGTGTTTCACCTGTGGTTCTACAGTAAAAATGATCTCGTATAACTAGGTATACTTACGAGGTCTGGATCAGAAGATAAAATATTAAACAGTATTTAAATTTTTCATGTCAAAGCTTCTCATACAACTTTGCTAGAGCTATGGCATGGAAATAAACCAAGAGAAATAAAAATCAAATACAGTACCTATTTATTAGTGTACCAGAACTTGCCTTCTGCTTTAAAGTCATAATTAATCATTCATATGCCAGATAAAAACCATTTATTTTATTATTAGAAAAAGTATTGAGTTGAACACTTAGACATTAAGGTTTAGACCTGTGCTAAGGTGTGTCCCATGTGGTAGTTGCGGCCTGTGTGGCTATGGAGCATGTGAAATGTGGCTTCTGAGAGACCCTGGAAGTGTCAAATACCACCAGATTTCAAAGACTTAGTATAAAAGAATAAGAAATATCTCAAAAATATTGCTATATTGATTACATGTTCAGATGATAATGTTTTAGACATATTGGGTTAATAAAATACATTACTAAAATCAGTTTTACCTGTTTTTAAAAAAACTTTAAAAAACATATCTGTGAGAGAATTTAAAATCATATATATGGCTTACATTTGTGGCTTGTGTCGTGTTTTTGTTAGACATGTTACTTTGGATACATCTTTATCTGAATGATTTTGGAAAGACTGCTACCATTTTAATTGCAGAAGTTACCTTTTTTATCTTCCCTGTCTTCTAATCAAAGCTGTAGTTTTCAGTCCTGCCTTTAAGGCATGTGCTGAGGTCCATGCCTGGTTAATCAGAATGTTAAGAGTCTAAATTTGGGCTTTTTCTCTGCATCATTCCCACCTGCATTTGCCAGGGGCTGATCTAGGCTCTGGGGATACAGCAGGAAGCAAACAATATCCTGGCTCTCATGGAACTCGCATTCTGCTGAGGGGAAACATCGGATAACAAGTTCGGCTGAGTGCTTGAAAGCAGCCATCAGGGTCTGGTTTGCAGGGGAGGGCATGGGGAGGGAGGAAGGAGGCCACCTTCACTAGTGTGGTCAGGGAAGGTCTCTTTGAGGAGGACGTATCTGAGTGAGACATTGAAGGTAAGAAGGGGTCGAGCAGGGAGAGCAGGCTGAGGGAAACACTGAGTGCAAAGTCCTTGCGGCGGGAAGGCCAGCACACAGAGAGTGGTGTCTCTAGATGAAGTCGGTGAGGTGTCAGTCACAGAGGGCTTTGAAGGCCATGGAGTTTTTTGTTACAGTCGACCCCTGAACAGCGTGGGTTTGAACTGCTCGGGTCCGCTTATACTTGGCTTTTTTTCTAAATACTAGAGTGCGTCACAGTCCGTGGCTGGTTGAATCCATGGATGTGGAACCTTGGATATGGAGAAACTGAGGACATGGAGGGCCGACTATACGTTAGACTCAGATTTTCCACTATGTGGAGGGTCGGCTCCCCTGACCTCCACACTGTTCAAGGGTCAGCTGTACTTATTTTAATTCAAGGGACAGTGGGAAGTGAAGGGCTTTAAATAGGGAGTGATGTGTTTGCTTTGTGTATTTAAAGCTCTCCCTAGGGAAGGGATTACAGGTAGACAAGAGTAGGCGAATGGCTGGAGGGGAAACTACCCAAGATTTAGAGGCCAGCAAGGAGGTGAGAAGGATGGGCCAGTAGCTAGGAGGAAGTCTGGGAGAGGGTGTGTTACCTGAAGCTAAAAGGGTTTTTCCAGGAGGAAGTGGATGTCTCTGCTCAGTGCAGCTGAGCATTCAAGGAGGTTGAGAACAGATGTGTCCCTCGAGTCTTAGTTAACATGGACATGGGGCACCAAGAACCTTCAGGCATCTCTGTTAATCTTAACAGCCCTGTTTTTTTTTGCCCATATGTTTAAGAAACTTATACATTATTTCTTTAATCCTTATAACATCTCATTTAAATAAGTGTCATTGTGGAAGTTAAGTAAGTTGTGAAGTGTCACCCAGCTGGGAAGTGGTGAAGCCGGAATGTGAACCAGCATCCCCTAAACCCAGACTGGAAGCTGTGTGAAGCCAGCAGGTGATGCCGCCTGCACCGTGGGCAGTGGGCAGGTGTTTGACTTGTTCTTCCTCTTTCTAGGTTACGGCCTCCGCTGCCACCGGGCCATCATCACCATCTGCCGGCTCATTGGCATCAAGGACATGTATGCCAAGGTCTCTGGCTCCGTCAACATGCTTAACCTCACCCGGGGCCTCTTCCACGGGCTCTCCCGCCAGGTAACTTCCCTGGGCTCTGAAACAGAAGGGCTAGTTTGTATGCCATTTGTGTGCTCTGAGACCACCATCTCGTGGGCTGTCCTGGAGTTGCTCTCGGGCCACCTGAGGACTAGGCATTCTTTGTTGTCTGTGGCTGCATCAGGTTAGTTAATCCAGCTGACGAGTTAGTTCATGAGAATTATCCTGTAAAAAAATACTCTATGGGTGTTTTGAAGTTTTAAAATTAAGTATTTTTAAAAGTCAGTAATTACACTGCTTTATTATGGAAAGAATACCCGCTTGTTCTAAAGCTTCAACAACATAAAGATGTAAAGTAAAAAGAGAAAGTCTCTTTCCTAATTTCGTCCGTTCCTTTGGAACTGGGGTGAAGCCCCTCGGGCACCTCTACTCGAGAGTGGTCTTCAACTGAAGCACAGTCAGTTTTCGTGTCACCTGTATCGGTAGTTCAGAGGGACATCTGAGTCAGTAGGAATATGAACATTAGTAGTTCAGGTTATTTCTCCACATAGATGGGAGCTCTGGGCCCCTGCCCAGCTCACCCCCTCAGCCTCGGTAGGCTCACAATCACTCCAGTGGTAGGGAGGAAGGGCTGTCGCTGCACGGGGCCCCCCCTTCTGGGCTGCCTGCTGCCTCTCTGCCAGCTCGGTGGGGATGGCTTGTGCCTTGAAAGGATGGGTGGACCTTAGCAGAGCTGGGTGAGCAGAAAGACAGCCAGGTTCAAGAGACATTTGCTGACCTCCACTTGCTGAGGACTTTGACAGGCTTCCTGACAGAGTGTGATGGCTGTTTCTGAATAAAGTCATCCATGGAATAATTGTAGCTGTCTCTGTTTAAAATAGGAAAATTAATTGAAAGAAAAGGCTTTGCTTAAAAAACCTTTTCTGAACAGCTGTGTTCGTGTGTGTGTGTGTGTGTGTGTGTGTGTGTGTTACTACTATCTAAAACATCCTTCAAAAGCACTTCTAAATTTACACTTACTGTTAAGAGGTTTAATTGTTTGATGTAGCTAAGATATTTGTTTTAGATAGGTCGTATTTGTGGTCAAGTAGACCTGTTCTAAAATGCCATCAGCTGTAAAAAGTTGCATTGTGCTACTCAAAGAAAAAAAATGACACCAGTGTAAGCAACATGCCACTGATTATAAGACACTCCAATTTAAATTATTTTATGTTGTTTTTTTTTTATGAATCAGCTCTTCTCTTTTCTAATTTCAAACGTATATAGAATTAGAATAGTACAAGGTGTGCATAAAGTCTGGAAACATGAGATTGTACATTTCTCATGGTATTTTAGGTATTTTAATTACTATCAATAAACCATCTATTGAGTTTATTCGCCTTTTTCCGACTTTTATGGCTACCTTCTGTTATGAATCCCGATGGCTCTCTTATACAGCATCAACAGTTAGCAGCTCATGGCCAGTTTTGTTTCTGTAAACCACCCCCAACCAGCCCTAGTCATTTTGACCCAAATCTCAGATATCAATTTATTTCACTCATAAATATTTTATCATGTATCTCTAAAAGATAAGGATTAAAAAGGACCCAACAATAGTAATATCATACGTAAAAAATTAACAGTAACGAGATATCAGACATCTAGTCAGTGTTCATAGAAATGTATCCATTTGTCAGATTAAAAAATTTTTTTTAATTAATTAATTTATTTTTGGCTGCTTTGGGCCTTCGTTGCTGTGCACGGGTTTTCTCTAGTTGCAGCGAGCGGGGGCGACTCTTTCACTGCAGTGCGCAGGCTTCTCATTGCGGTGGCTTCTCTTGTTGCGGAGCACGGGCTCTAGGCGCGCGGCTTTCAGTAGTTGTGGCACGTGGGCAGGCTCAGTAGTTGTGGTGCACAGGCTTAGTTGCTCCACGGCATGTGGGATCGTTCGGGACCAGGGTTCGAACCCGTGACCCCTGCATTGGCAGGCGGATTCTTTTTTTTTCTTTGCGGTATGCGGGCCTCTCACTGTTGTGGCCTCTCCCGCTGCGGAGCACAGGCTTCGGACGCGCAGGCTCAGCGGCCATGGCTCACGGACCCAGCCGCTCCGCGGCATGTGGAATCTTCCTGGACTGGGGCACGAACCCGTGTCCCCTGCATCGGCAGGCGGACTCTCAACCACTGCACCACCAGGGAAGCCCTAAAAAAATTTTTTTAATACAATTTGTTAGAATTGGATTGCAGAAAAGGTCCATACATTTTAAATCTTTGCTGTCTTTTAAATCACTTTTAATCTGTAAGTTTCCCTCTTTTTTTTCCTTGCGTTTTTTTATTGTTGAAGAAATCAGGTTGTGTGTCCCAGTCTGGTGCTAAATATCTGAGGATCCTTAACATCTCTCCCTGCATGTCCTATAAATTGGTAGCTAGAGCTGGGACACAATGAGGTTCAGGTTCAGTTTTGGGCACAGTATGGCACATGATCAGGAGGGTTAGTAAGGCAAGAGACCAGAGGGCAAGGCCCTTCCTTTATCCCACTTGGGGGTGGGGAGATGAGGCTGACATGATTCCGCCCACAGCAGGTCACCATAGTTTAGCCACAGCAAGTCCCTGCTTTTTAAGTTACAGACTTAAGTTTATTGTGTTTTTTTTTTTAAAGTAAAATCTCGTTTTTTGTTTTTTTGCGGTATGCGGTCCTCTCACTGTTGTGGCCTCTCCCGTTGTGGAGCACAGGCTCCAGACGTGCAGGCCCAGCAGCCATGGCTCACGGGCCCAGCTGCTCTGCGGCATGTGGGATCTTCCCGGACTGGGGCATGAACCCGTGTCCCCTGCATCGGCAGGCAGACTCTCAACCACTGCGCCACCAGGGAAGCCCTAAGATCTTGTTTTTAATCACTTTTAAATAATTCAGTAAACAGCTAAACTTGATATTATATTACCTGGGCCATGTTTCCTGCTGTAATAATCACCCTCAGTTAATGAATTTTAAAGAGTTGCTACATTTTAATCAACCAAACAGTTTTGGCCATGCAAGATAAGTATCAGGGCTGGACCATGTTAGACCAACCTCATAGACCTAACCTCGTGTTCTCAATTTGGTCGTGTCCAGGAAACCCATCAACAGCTGGCTGATAAGAAGAGTCTCCATGTTGTGGAATTCCGGGAGGAATGTGGCCCTCTGCCTATCGTTGTTGCCTCCCCCAAGGGGGCCTTGAGAAAGGATCCGGAGCCGGAAGATGACGTTCCAAACATCAAACTGGACTGGGAAGAAGTGAAGGCTGCCCAGGGTATGAAGCGCTCTGTGTGGTCAAGTTTAAAGAGAGGCGCCACCTAGGCCTCCCTCTGGCCTGGCTCAGCCTGGCATCTCTTGCTTCTGGCACCTGGGAGAGACTCAACCCCTCACACTTTGTTGATTTTTTTTTTTTTTGCGGCACGCGGGCCTCTCACTGCTGTGGCCTTTCCCGTTGAGGAGCACAGGCTCCGGATGCGCAGGCTCAGTGGCCATGGCTCACGGGCCCAGCCTCTCAGTGGCATGTGGGATCTTCCCGGACCGGGGCACGAACCCGTGTCCTGTGCATTGGCAGGCAGACTCTTAACCACTGTGCCACCAGGGAAGCCCTCAACCCCTCACACTTTGGATTGTCACTTTTTTTTTTTTTTAAAGGAAAGGCCAACCTTACATTTCTTTATTTACAAATAACAAATAATTATAGATTTAATTTATTGAGCACGTCATATATACCAATTACTGTGATAGGAACTTTACATACATATCTTAGTTAAAAACTACTTTAAATATTCATTTAAACTAGCAAATTAGGGAGGCAGGGCTTCTAGTCTGACCTAATAAAAAATAATATGCAGGGCTTCCCTGGTGGCGCAGTGGTTGAGAGTCTGCCTGCTGATGCAGGGGACATGGGTTTGTGCCCCGGTCCGGGAAGATCCCACATGCCGCGGAGCGGCTGGGCCCGTGAGCCATGGCTGCTGAGCCTGCGCGTCCGGAGCCTGTGCTCCGCAACGGGAGAGGCCACAGCGGTGAGAGGCCTGCGTACCGCAAAAAAAAACCAAAAAAAAACTAAAGAAGAAAAAAAAAATAGCCTATTTTATTTACCCATGTTTTTGCTCTTTCAGTCGTTCTTCTTTCCTGATATTCCGAGAGTCCTTTTGTCATTTTGAGTGGGGAAAAGCCAAGGTCCCCTCCTGTGTGTCTCCTTAACTCTCACAGTACTACCACACTCCCAGCACTTCTGACAGCAGATGTGGGGGGTTTCCCCTCACCAAGCAGTCCTCTGCAATACCAGCTACTTGTCCTACAATTTAACTCAATTCTGACACTGTCTACCTGGAGGTAGCATCAAATTCCACTGGTTAAAGGCTCAGTCCCTCAAGACTGCCCCCACCCCACTTCACACCAGTTGCAAGTCTGGTTGTCACCTGTGCTTCTGACTCATCAGCTGTAAATCAGAGGTTCCCATGACTCCCTCATTGTGTTTGATAATTTGCTAGAGTGGCTTACAGAATTTAGGAATACAGTTTATTTATCGCCTACCAGTTTATTATAAAAGGATATGATAAAGGATACAGATGAACTTCCAGATGGAAGAGAGACAGAATTTTAAAATTTTCATGAAGTCTAATTTGTCTGTTTTTCTTTTGTTGCCTGTATCTTTGGTGTTCTGTACAAGTAATTGCTAAATCCAGTGTCGTGAAGCTTTTGTCCTATGTTTTCTTCTAAGAGTTTTATAGTTTTGGGTCTTACATTTAGGCCTTTGATTTCTTTTGAGTTTGTTTTTGTGTATGGTGTTAGAGATCAACTTCATTCTTTTGCATGTGGATATCCAGTTTTCCCAGCAACATTTGTTGAAAACACGGTCCTTTCCCCATTGAATGGTCTTGGCACCTTTGTCAAAAATCATTCAACCATATATACAGAGGTTTATTTCTGGGCTCTCTATTCTATCCCATTGGTTAACATGTCTGTCTTTATGCCGGTACCACACTGTTTTGGTGACTATACCTTTGTTGGATATTTTGAAATCAGGAAGTATGAGTCTTTCTGTTTTGTTCTTCTTTTTCAAGATTGTTTTGGCTGGTCAGGTGTCCCTTGAAATTCCATATGAATTTTAGGATGGGTATTTCTGTTTCTGCAAAAAATATCTTTGGGATATTGATAGGGATTGCATTGACTGTAGATCACTTTGGGTAGTATTGACATCTTAACAATATTAAGTCTTCCATTCCATGAACGTGGGTATGTGTTCACTTATTTACATCTTCTTTAATTTCTTTTAGCAATGTTTTATAGTTTTCATTGTACTTTCACTTCCTTGGTTAAATTAATTCCTAAGTATTTTATTCTTTTTGATGCCATTTTAAATGAAATTGCTTTTGCAATTTCCATTTGATAAGGGATATTGGTCTGTAGTTTTCTTGTAGTGTCTTTGGCTTTTCTATCAGGGTAATGGTAGTCTCATAGAATGAGTTAGGAAGTATTCCCCCCTCTTCAATTTTTGGGGGAAAGTTTGAGAAAGATTAATATTAATTCATCTTTAAATGTTTGATAGAATTCAACAGTGAAGCCACCAGGTCTAGGGGTTTTCTTTGTCACAAGATTTTTGATTACCTACTTAATCTCCTCAGTAGTTATAGGTCTATTCATATTTTCTATTTCTTCGTGATTTAGTTTTGGTAGGTTTTGTGTTTTTATGAATTTGTTCATTTCATCTAGCTGACCCAATTTATGGGTGTACAATTGTCCAGTATACTCTCTTATAATCCTTTTTATTTCTATAGAATCAGTATTAACAACCTTAGTTTTATTTCTAATTTTTTAATAATTTGAGTCTTCTCTCTTTTTGTTCTTAGTCCATCGAGCTAAAGGTTTGTCAATTCTGTTGATCTGTTCAAAGAACCAACTCTTGCTTTCATTGATGTTTTTCAATTATTTTTCTATTCTCTATTTTGTTATCTCTGCTCTAATCTTTATTATTTCCTTCTTTCTGCAAGTTTTGGGTTTCGCTTATTCTAGTTCCTTAATTTATAAATTAGGTTGTCAATTTGAAATCTTTCTTGGTTTTCAGTGTAAGCATTTATAGCTGTGAAATTCACCCTTTGCACTGCTTTGTTGTGTCCCATAAGTTTTGGTATGTTGTATTTTCTTTTTTATTTATCTCTAAGTATTTCTAATTCACTTTGTGATTACTTTTTTGATTTATTGATTGTTTAAAGTGTGTTGTTTGATATCTACAAATTTGTGAATTTCCAAGTTTTCCTTTTGTTATTGATTTCTGACTTCTTGTGGTTGGATAAGTTACTTTTTATAATAGTTATCTTTTAAAATCTGTATGACAGTTTCTGGCCTAACATATGATGTAGTCAAATTTTCTGATGAGATCTGCTGGTAGTTTTAATGAGGATCCCTTGTATGTGATGATTTACTTCTTGCCTCTTTGAAGATTGTCTCTTTGTGCTTGTCCTTTGAAAATTTGATTATAATGTGTCTTGGTGTGGATCCCTTTGAGTTTATCTTACTTGGAATTTATATTTTAGATGTTTATATTCATGTCTTTCATCAAATTTGAGACGTTTTCAGCCATTACTTCTTCAAGTGTTTTATTCTCCCCTTTTCTCTTTTTTCTGAGACTCCCACAATTTGCGTGTTGATCTGTTTGATGCTGTCCCACAGGTCCCTTAGCACTGTTCATTTTTCTTCAATCTTTTTCTTTCTGTTCCTCAGATTGATAATTTCTTTAAGTTAATTGACTCTTTCTTTTGCCTGCTCAAACCTGCCTTTTAATCCCTTTAATAGAAATTTCCATTTCAGTTATTAAAATATAGCTACAGAACTTTTTTGTTTGCTTCGTTCTAGGTGTTCGATATCTTTATTGGTGTTTCCATTTTGTTCGTACATTGTGTTTTTTGGTTTTGTCCCCATCTTCCTTTAGTTCTTTGAGTGTCTTTAAGACAGTTGTTTTAATGTCTTTGTCTGTTAGATCTGCCATTAGGTCTTTCTCAGGGACAGATTCAAAAGTAGACATTTTAATCTAATAATGTGGTAACTCCAGAAATCAGATTCTCCTCCTTCCCCAGGGTTTGATGTTTTTAAATGTTTTAAATTTATGTATGTATGTATTTATATTGTTGTAGGTTGCCTCTATGTCAAGAATATGCCAAGATGTAAACTTAAGGTCTTCTCAGGTCTTTTCTGAGTCTGTGCCTTTCCCTGGGTATGAATGGTCACTTTATAATGTTCCTTGTATATGCAGCTCCTTTTGAACCTCCTACTCTTTAATGTGTGACCCCCAAAAGGTGAAAAAGAGAAAAATAAAGAGAAGGGGAAAAGGGCATCATCCCTTTAAATCCCCTTAAAGTCACTTCAGCTGGAGGTGGAGGGACTTCGAACAGTTGTGGGAGGTGCAACAAAATTAGCCACCAGCCTTTTTGTCTACACCTCTCTGATCAGAGGCAACAATCAGTGATCAGAGGAGAGATCCCTGGTATTTGGGGGACAGGGTCCTTTTTGCTCACCCTGGCTTCAGCAAGCTGTGTGCAGGCTGCTCCAAGGACACTTGCACAGCTGCCTGCCAGGTGGCTTAAAGCAGGGGTGGGGAGCTGCTACTGTGCTGAGTGATGAAGCTGACCAAAATTAGCCACAATTTACCATCCATGCATTTCCCTGAAAGTCAGAAACCTTCAATAGACTCCACAATTCCAAAACAGTTACATCAGATTCTGCCAGCACAGTTGTTATTTAGATGGGGAGACAGATTCCTGGTGCCTGCTACAACCAAAGGGTTCTGAGAACCCTTTCTTGTTGCCCTTGTTCTCTGTTCCTATTGTTGTCTTCCACCCCTATCTGCTTTGTGTGTGTATTGTTATAATTGAGCATTTTATATGATTTCATTTTCTCTCTCAGCATGTCATTATACTTTTTTTTTTTAGTGGCTGCCCTAGAGTTTCAGACATAAACTTACAACTAATCCAAGTCCACTTTCAAATAACACTGTACCACTTCATGGGTAGTGCAAGTACCTTATAATAATAAAGTATTTCTAATTCCTCCCTCTCGTCCCTTAATGTCATTCTTTTCACTTATATATAATTTATAACCAATGATACACTGTGACTATTTTTATTTTGAACTGTTATATGTTAGATAACTAAGAAAAAATTTTTATTTTTCCTTCACTTCTTCCTTCTTTAATGCTCTTCCTTTCTTTATGCAGACCCGAGTTTCTGGCCTATATCATTTTCCATCTTTCTGAACAGCTTCTTTTAACATTTCTTGCAAGGCAAGTCTACTTGACAAGTTCCCTAATTGTTGTTTGTCTGAGAAAGTCTTTATTTCTCCCTTGCTTTTGAAAGATAATTTTACAGGATACAAAATTCAAGTTTGGTGAGATTTTTTTCCCCTCAATACTTTAAACATTTCATTCCACTCGCTTCTTACTTGCATGGTTTCTGA